AGAGCTGGATGAACACAGCAGGCCAAGCAGCATCATAGGAGCAGGAAAGCTGACGTTTCGGTCTAGACCCTTCTTCAGAAAAAGACCCTTTTCCTGAAGAAAGGTCTAGGCCCTAAACGTCAGCCTTCCTGCTCCTATGATGCAGCTTGGCCTGCTGTGTTTACCCAGCTCTACACCTCGTTATCTCGGATATAGACTCAGTTGCGGACTCTGGAAGGAGAACAAGTAGCGCATATGAGCCAGAAGTAGATTCAACAGCGGAACATGTGAACCGAAAATAAAATGGGCTGGTGTGTAAATGGACCTGATGTAGACTCGGTAGCGGGGCGCATAGACCGGATGTAGACTCGGCAGCGGGGCGCATGGACCGGATGTAGACTCGGCAGCGGGGCGCATGGACCGGATGTAAACGCGGCAGCCGGCCGCTTGGGCCGGAAGTAGGTTGTGCGCGAGCAGTGAAGCTCGTTAGTGACAGTTGGTGGTGGGCCTGGCGGAGTTTAGAGTGCGATTTTAAATATTTCATTCGAGAAAGACTTTACATTTGTAGGACTCGGAAAAGAGGGTCCGAGTGGAAGTGGAAGTGGAAGTGGAAGTGGAAGTGGATGTTGATGTTGATATTGATATCCCGCTTCTAAGATGCATTGACGGAAATGGAAGAGTTTGTGTCGGAGTTTGGGGAACTGAACAGTGCTGTGAGTGTCACCCTCCTTTGTAACAGTTTGCATCGCGTTAATTTGCAAATGAATCCATAATAATTTTTCTTTGAAGATTGATAACCAGTCATTCAGCCAATAAGTCACTTTATGGGCAACGGACTGACTGCAGGCGATAACGTGACTGGGCATGGGCCTTCTTTCATGTTCTCCAGTTTAGGTTCCATCACCAAGACCTGAATCAAGACAAAGAGAAGCGGATAGGATTCGGTTTCAATAAGTCCCATTGTTGTAATAACAGTGGCAGACTCCTTCTCAATTATCAACCAGTGTTGATAGTGCTTGTTAGGCAGAGGGAGGGAGTGAGTGAGTGAGTGAGCGAGCTGAGAGTCTGCTGAGATGGGGATATATTTTCTTTCTATTAATGTAACCAGTTACGGCCCATTCCCAACTGCCCATGAAAAGGTGGGTGGTGAACCACTTTCCTCAAAGTAGTCTACATGTGCCCTCAGTGCTGTTAGAAGTGTTTCCATGACTTCAGTCGAGTGATAGCGAAGGAATGGTGATATAGTTTCATATCAGGATGGTTTGTGATGTGGAGAGGAGCTAGAGGGGTGGTGGTGTCCCATGTGTTGGCCTATACTTGCCCTTCTACGTGCTGTCAAAGGAACCTTGGTGAGTTGTATCTTGGGGCACCAATGGTAGAAGGAGTGAGTGGGTTTTTTTTTTGCTGGAGTTGCACTCGTCCAGGCAAGTGGGGAGAATTCCATCAAACTCCTGATTTGTGCCTTGTGGATGGTGGACAGAATTTATGGATGCAGGAGATGAGGTACTTGCCTCTGACATTCTCGAGTTCATGCAGTATTTTATATATCTGGTCCTGTTAAGTTTCTGGTCACTGTTGACTGACACTTCCCTGTTGCCTCTCCCCTTCCTCATAATGGTGGGAATTTGGCAATTGTAATGCTGATGAATGCAAAAGGTAGATGGTCAGATTCTTAATTTCACTACTTGTTCTTCCTCAGGGAAAGGGGTGTGAGGAGAAGGAACATATGTTTTCTGAAGTTTTAACAATAACAATTACTCTCTTTCCACTCTACTTATTAGGGTTCCTGCTTAGCCTGTTTCCAAGGATTTAGGATTACTTTTTCCTCCCCTTGGCTGTTTGATTTGAGCTGTTAGGTTTAGAGGATGGCTCCAATGCTGAGAATGTTCTGGAATAAACAGTGTTATTTGAACCTTTTGTAACGGAGGTTCATAATACATTGTTATAATTTGGGAGTTTAGATTCTGAAATGAAGGAATAATGAATTTTCGTTTTCAGTTCTATAAAGGTCTGACTTGATCTTTTGGAAACTCAGAGTCATTCAGTTCAAAACTGCAATTGGCAGAAGTCATTGTGCTTTTAGGAAAATGATGAGCAAAGCACCTGGGAGAGAGAATTGTTGAAGTTGTATAACTACCAGTGAATGGGAAAAGGTGTTATAAGCAGGATCGTGCAGTGTGAATAGGTCCATAATAGCTGAGCTACTGTTATTAGCAGTTTACAAGGAGTCAGGGCTGGGAGAAGTCCAGAGAATCGTAGAATTCAGTGAAGAAAACTCCTGAAGCAATGCTTTGGAGGTTTGAGAGGAAGACGTCCTATGGTGGAACGCAGAATCAATGGGAAATTCCTAACGAAGGGAGACAAGCACAGGAATTCCTAGAAGCCTGGTTCTCCACTAAGAAAGCCAGCAATAAACACGTAGATCTAGACCCCATATACAGTCCATTGCAAAGGAAAACCGGAAGTGACGTAATCCAGCTCTACGGACACCAGAGTTTAAATGACAGGCGGGAAAACACAACAGCGCTTCATCGGAGGCTACACTGATTATGTTACCCAGCAGGGTAATGAAATGTCTGCGGATCAACGAACCAGCTCGGTGAGCCAACCAACCAGAATGTCCACAACCCGAGCTACAACTCTACTCTTAAAACCTTAGACACCCTACAAGGCTGTGGGTAGCAAAGAATTATGGAATTCCAACTAAGTAATAATGAATTGCATTTGTAGTTAGTTTAAAGGGTCATGGGAGAGATATTAACTGATTGAAAAAATAAAGTAATCCTATTTGTCTTGCACTCATCAGGACAATTTGCGTGAATATCAATTCAAGGGAAAACTGGCACTTGTATGCATTTCATAATCAACATGTTCAAATGTTTTATGACACACCTCTGAAGCAGTTGGGACTTGGACTTGGGATTTCTGGCTCAGAGGCAGGGATGTTACCACCACGTCACAACAGCCTTAAACCAACGTTTATACTGTGTGAGAGGGGATTGCTGTTTGGATGGCAAGTAGACACTGGAGAAGGCAATGCTGTGGTTAAAAACACCAATTCATGTTTGACGGATTTACTTCTCTTGGTCAAGGTGTTGCCCTGAAAATTAACTAGCAAATGACTGTTACCTATTCTGTTGAGTTGAATCAGGTGCAGCTTCTGTATATGGCCTTCCTGTCCACAAAAAAAAAGCCCTATGTATTAATATATGTAATTTCCAGTACAAACAAGTGAGCTACAGTGATCCTAACTGGCAATCAGAACTCTTCTCCAGTACAGTTTTTTTAAAAAAAAAAAAAAAAAAAAAAAAAAAGTTTTTTTTCCCTAATTGACTTGATGAATGAAAGGCAAAAAGTTTTGGAAAAATGTACTTTTTTCAGTAAACTCAATTTCTGTACTATTAAACAGCAATTTACAATAGCATCCAGTGAACGTGCATCAATTTGCCAAAAGGATTACTGCCAAGCCAGCTGAGTAAAATGCTTCAGTCTGGAGATGGGGTGACTCTTTCACTGAGATTTGAATAAGGATAATGATATAAAAGGGATAAATCCATCTTATGTTCTAATGACATCACTGTAATTGTTCTTAGTTACTTTAATATGCTGTGTTTTTTTTGTGCAATAAACTTTTATATTCTTTTATTAAAAATACAATGAAAAACTCTTGTGAATATATTCAGTGACTGACCTCCATAGTAAGTGAAAAGACCATAAGTTTTATTTTTCCATCAAATCAGGTTTCATTCTGGGATCTAACTTCTCCAGTATTGCCAGCAGCTGATACAATTGCAGAAATAGACCAGCTGTTTACAATCCAAAGCCGTATTTATGGCCTTCCATTAAGGATAGCTAAGTCCATGTTCATATTTAACAGCTGAATATTGCTCCCTCCTCTCTGCACATAAGGTCTATGTGGTGATGAAGTTATCAATGGTAGTCTTCCAAAACTGCATGTGGAGTTAGAGTAGGGACAGAGGATCAGATTGTAGCTTCCAAAGTGTGTAGCCATGTGTATATTATGGTCTGTTCTTTACCACTGCGTATTCCCAGCTACTTTGATTTTAAAGGTTTATTTTGTGAAATGTCTGTTAGAACAAATCTGTTTATGCCCTGTTTTGCTGCGTTTGTCAGAATCTGTAGTCTTTTTGAGGTGCTGTTTTGAATGACTTTACAAAAGACTATCACAGCCAATATTTCATTCTTGCCTTCCAATTTACAGGATGTTCAGTGGCTCCAGAATTTGTACAGATTTACAGAAGAGAACATCCTTCCTGTGGCTGTAGGTTGTGAAATTACTTGTAAGGAGTTGAGCAGCTGTCTGTTTCAATGCTTATGCAGAATTTGTCACAATCACAGTAATACTTGTGGCTATCAAGGAAAAGATGGACTTATTCTACCTTTAAGCTATAGGTACTGAAAAATCTAATTATATTCATTATTTGCAGGAAGGTGCTATTTTACTTTAATCTGTTTTTATTTCAGTTAATAATGGTCTTGTGTATTTATGGCATTTTTTACTTCAGATTTTTGTTATCCTAAACTTTTACAATGTTCTAATTTCAGTCATGAGCTGCTAACATTAAGGACATTTGCTTTAAAATATTTTTAACAGTTTGAATCTTAGTATACTTTTAATTCATAGACATTAGTCATTATTTTTCTATGCCTCTCTATTGGCTCACTCTCTTTAGATGGGCTGTAATTCTTGAGCAAAATTATTATATTGTGACAGAGTTGCTTGACTCCAGAGCTTCATCCTGCTTGGCTATCTGGGGTGCAGGTTTTCTGTTGGAGCAAGTGGTTCATTTTGTGAGGAAACACCTTCAAGTTTGCAAAGCTGCACATTTAATGCAAACCACACAGTCTTAAATGTGTATGATATACGATGAGATAAATATCTGCTCCTGAATTATAAAATACAAAAGAACTGCGGATGCTGTAAATCAAGAACAAAAACAAAGTTGTTTCAGAGATAGTAGGAACTGCAGATGCTGGACAATCTGAGATAACAAGGGGTAGAGCTGGATGAACACAGCAGGCCAAGCAGCATCAGAGGAGTAGGGAGGCTGATGTTTTGGGCCTAGACCCTTCTTCAAAAATGGGGGAGGGGAAGGGAGTTCTGAAATAAATAGGGAGAGAGGGGGAGGCGGATAGAAGATGGATAGAGGAGAAGATAGGTGGAGAGGAGACATACAGGTTAAAATGGATGAACTGTTCGAGCTCCTCGTGGGAGCACGAAGCGGCGCCAATACAGTCATCAATGTAACGGAGGAACCGCCTCGTGCTCCCACGAGGAGCTTGCACAGTTCATCCACTTCACCAATACCTTCCACCCCAACCTTAAGTTCACCTGGACCATCTCTAATACCTCTCTCTCCTTCTTGGACCACTCTGTTTCCATCTCCTGGCAACCACCTAGAAACCGATATCCATTTCAAGCCCACCGACTCCCACAGCTACCTAGAATACTCCTCCTCCCGCCCACCTTCCTGCAAAAATGCCATCCCGTATTCCCAATTCCTTCGCCTCCACCGCATCTGCTCCCAGGATGAGGCATTCCACTCCCGTACATCTCAGATGTCCTCGTTTTTCAAGGACCGCAACTTCCCTCACCTCAGTGGTCGAGAACGCCCTCTACCATGTCGCCTGCATTTCCCGCAACTCATCCCTCACACCCCCTCCCCGCAATAACAACCAAAAAAGAATCCCCCTCGTCCTCACGTACCACCCCACCAACCTCCGGATCCAACGCATCATCGTTCAACACTTCTGCCATCTGCAATCCGACCCCGCCACCAAAGACATTTTTTCCTCCCCTTCCTTATCTGCTTTCCGAAGGGACCACTCTCTCCGTGACTCCCTTGTCCGCTCCAAACTCCCCTCCAGCCCCACCACACCCGGCACTTTTCCCTGCAACTGCAGGAAGTGCTACACCTGCCCGTACACCTCCCCCCTCACCTCCATCCCAGGCCCCAAGAAGACTTTCCACATCAAGCAGATGTTCACCTGCACATCTGCTGATGTGGTATACTGCATCCGCTGTTCCTGTTGTGGCCTCCTCTATATCGGGGAAACCAAGCGGAGGCTTGGGGACCGCTTTGCAGAACACCTACGCTCAGTTCGCACTAAACAACTGCACCTCCCAGTCGCGAACCATTTCAACTCCCCCTCCCATTCCTCAGATGACATGTCCATCCTGGGCCTCCTGCAGTGCCATAATGATGCCACCCGAAGGTTGCAGGAACAGCAACTCATATTCCGCTTGGGAACCCTGCAGCCCAATGGTATCAATATGGACTTCACAAGCTTCAAAATCTCCCCTCCCCCTACCGCAACCCAAAACCAGCCCAGCTCGTCCTCGCCTCCCTAACCTGTCCTTCCTCCCACCTATCCCCTCCTCCCACCTCAAGCCGCACCCCCATCTCCTACCCACTAACCTCATCCCGCCCCCTTGACCTGTCCGTCCTCCCTAACTCCCCACCTACACTCGCCTTTACTGGCTCCATCCCCGCCTCTTTGACCTGTCTGTCTCCTCTCCACCTATCTTCTCCACTATCCATCTTCTATCCGCCTCCCCCTCTTTCCCTATTTATTTCAGAACCCCCTTCCTCTCCCCCATTTCTGAAGAAGGGTCTAGGCCCGAAACATCAGCCTCCCTGCTCCTCTGATGCTGCTTGGCCTGCTGTGTTCAACAAGCTCTACACCTTGTTATCACAAAAACAAAGTTGCTGGAAAAGCTCAGCAGGTCTGGCAGCATCTGTGAAGGAGAAAACAGAGTTAACATTTCGGGTCCGGTGACCGACCCTCAGAACAGATGGTGGCTGGGAAAACGTCGGTTTATATGCAGAAAATAGAGAGGTGGGTGGGGTAGGGAGCAAACGATAGGATAGAGCCCAAAGAGAGAGAAAGGAATTGCTAACTATCAGGCTGGGAGAGTGAGTAGTTGTTAATGGGGACTGTTAGTGACTAACAACAGTTGGTGTGTAGTGGCAGGCTATGTGGTAACAAGGCCTGGTGTATGGGGTGGGGGGCTGGGACATGGGAGAGTTTAGGCCCTAAAATTATTGAACTCAATATTGAGTCCAGAGGGCTGTCGGGTCCCCAAGCGGAAAATGAGGTGTTGTTCCTCCAGCTTGTGTTGGGCTTCACTGGAACACTGTAGCAAGCCAGAGACAAAGATGTTGGCCAGGGAGCAAAGTGGTGCATTGAAGTGACAGGCAACAGGTAGTTCAGGGTCTTTTTGTGAGCAGAACACAGATGTTCTGCGAAGCAGTCGCCAAGTCTGCGCTTCGTGTCCCCAATGTCGAGGAGACCACGTTGTGAGCAGCGAATGCAGTAAACTAGACTCTTGGAAGTGCAGGTGAAGTGTTGCTTCACCTGGAAGGTATGTTTGGGCCCTTGGATTCTGGGGAGGGAGGAGGTAAATGCACAGGTGTTGCACCTTCGCCGGTTACAGGGGAAGGTGCCATAGGGCTGAGGGGAGGTGTTGGGGGTGATGGAAGTGTGGACCAGGGTGTCCCGGAGGGAACAGTCCCTGCGGAAGGTGGACAGGGGAGGGGAATAGGTGTCTGGTGGCATCTTGCTGGAGGTGGCGGAAGTGGCATCTGATGATCTTCTGGATGTGATCTATGATCTATGATCTTCTGGATGTGGCTGCTGGTGGGATGGTAGGTAAGGATAAGGGGAACCCTATTGCTGTTGCGGGAGGGAAGAGAGGGGGCGAGGGCTGAAGTGCGGGAGTTGGGTCGGTTGAGGGCCCTGTCGACAACGGAGCTGGGGAATCCTCGGTTGAGGAAGAAGGTGGACATTTCGGAGGCTCCTTTGTCGAAGTTGGCCTCATCTGAACATATGCGACGGAGACGGAGGAATCGAGAGAATGGGCTGGAGTCTTTACAGGAAGTGGGATGTGAAGATGTACAGTCCAGGTAGCTGTGGGAGTCAGTGGGTTTGTAATGGATATTAGTGGACAGTCTATCCCCAGAAATGGAAACAGAAATGTCGAGGAAGGGAAGGGAGGAGTCAGAGATAGACCAGGTGAAAGTGAGGGCAGGGTGGAAATTGGAGGCGAGATTGATGAAGTTTTCCAATTCCAGACGAGAGAGGAAAGCAGCACTGACCCACCCACAACTTTTTCTCTGAAACATCAATGTTTTTGCTCTTGAATTATGTTGAAAGCACTTTGTGTACATTTTTTGGAATTAAATGCAGTGTTTCTAGGAATGAAAGCAACTAATATACTTAAATACACAATTATTCTGTTTGGGAACAATGTATTGCTGGCTACTGTTGCAGCCCTTCTCAAACTTTATATTAATTAGTAATGGCCCAAGTTGTGGAATTCCTTTCCTCAACCTCCCTACATCTCTCCTTTTAAGGTTTTCCTTAAATTTACTTTTTTGACCAAGCTTTCAGTAACTTGAACCAATACACATTGGTAATTTTTGAAAATGAGTCCTGTAAGTGACTTGGGATATTTAATTACATTTAAAAGTCCTGTACAAATGCAAGTTATTTTCATGTTGTTTGTGGACCTTCGCGGGTGGAATGGAGCCAAAATCTGTGAAACCATTCAAGTGGCGGTGAAGTGTGATAATGAATGAATATAGATTCGTGCATGAGGGTGGATTAGATGCAATTATTTTTGTGTATTTTCAAGACCCTGCTGGTTAATTCAGTAGTTTTTGAAAGTAATTTGAGAATGCTGAAATGTATCTAAATCTGATCAAAACGGCTTTTGATTTTCCTCTCTTGGATGCTGACCGAAATGCCTTTATATTTCCAGAACGTTTTGGATTTCAGTTGGGGTCAGTAGTTATATGTCATTGACCAAGGGTTGCATATCATTGTCATGTTGATTAAAGTGTTCATTTAGCATGGTTAGAGTTCAGATAGACTCTGTCTTCTTGCTGCTTAATTAAAGATTTAATTGCAGATTTATATCCATTGAGGAACTTCGTTCTCAGCAGAAAACCCCTTGCTGTAGCCAATTAACATGGAGCACCAGTCAGTTCAAGCAGTGGACTACGCATAAAGGGAATTTACTGATCAGTCAGAAGGCACTTAGTCGGACAAACTTGCTGCTATGTGGTCTCCTGACAGATAAGACCTCAATTATTCTAAGCTCTTCAGAGAGCCAAGAACAACAGAATGGTGGTATCTTGTACTTGCAGGATAAGAGTGGATTCATACCTTGTGAGGTAAACAGAAATTTCTAATCTTGCGAACGTATAAAATTTTGCTCTTGGCTAGTTTTGGTGCCTTAACTGACTTATTTTGTTACGGGGCATGATGATGGAAGGTGTCAATGTTATTTGCTGACGTAAGTAGAGAATGGTTCAAATTAAAAGAATTAATTAGTTCATCATTTTAACAGATGAGTGAAATGAACGTGGAAATACAATTTCTTTAGGATCCGCTTTGATGTAAATTTATGCCGTGTTTTCTTTGTAAAAATGCAATTTTGTTAAGTGGTGGAATCTGGTTACATAGTATTTGATTTGGATATATTATCAAATGAACACTCAAGCAGAAGATTGCAATTCCACAATTCCTTAAGATTCAGTTCTTAGGCTGAAACTACTGTTACAAGCAGAATTCTGCTCTGTAATTTGAAATGCAAGCTGACAGCAAATATCAGAGCTGTTTAGCCAGCTGCTATACATCCACAGTACAACTGACATACCAGATGGATCTGGTGCTCTTGTGACACAGTCCTCTGGGCTAAAAATCCTGAAATTACCTTCTTTTCTACAGCACTTGGACAGCAATAGTTCAAGAAGGCAGTTGTATCAGCATCTTCTCAAAGATAACTGGGCAGAGCAACAAATACAGGGCCAGCCAGTGACTCCCACGTTATGTAGAAGAGAAACAGGTTGATTCAAAAGTATATATTCTAGATGGGCTGTGAACTCAGCAGTAGTTTGAAAACTTTTGTGTAGCTTATAATTAGCTGTCCGAAATTGCCATTCGGTGATGTTCACCAGCATTTTAGGAACTTCTCCACTCTTTGCTCATTGTTAGGTGTATTCAAGAGGGAGCTGGACGTGGCCCCTGTGACTAAAGGGATCAAAGGATCAAGGGATATGGAGAGAAAGTGGGAGTGGAATACTGAAATTGCATGATCAGCCAAGATCTTATTGAATGGTGGAGCAGGCTTGAAGAGCCCAATAGCCTACTTCACCTATTTTCTATTTCTGTGTTAGTTTGCTCAACAGCGAATAATGTGTTCTCTATGGGAAGTCCGGTATACACTTAATGAGAAATATACCAATTTAATATTAGTGGAACGTTCAAGCTGATCACTGCTTTGAGTTGATCACTGCAAGTGAATTCTGCTACCTAACAAACTCAGCAACCTGTTGATGCTTGTGCTATGAGGGAGGAAACTGATTACTTCAATGGAAAATAGCAAAAAATGAAGACTCCTTTAAATTAATCTGAAGTTGTGAGGTTTTAATATATGTCTTGTTTTCATATGTTGATCCCAGCTTAAAATAAAACCTTGGCAAACAAATTCCTGTTGGTTTCCTGGTTCTCAATCCAACATGATTGTTCAGTTTTAGCCACGTACGTTTAAAGTCTTTTATCTGCTTATCCTGCTGAACCAGTAAATTGCTGTCTGTAAGAAATTAAACCTTACCTCTATTTTAGATAAGAATTTTCCTGCAATTATATTTGCACCTAATTTTGTGGGAAAATTGCCTTTTTCACTGAGTATTTCACTTTGGAGTACAATGTATAAGTAACATTTAGTGCAAAACTTTAGTGATAAGTAAGTTCCAAACAGATTTATTTATTTATTTTCTCTTTTATGGTGAAATTCTTGACCAGATTATCAAATTAGATGCCCGGTGGTTGGGGCATTTAGTAATGCTTCCAAGCTGGAGTTATATTCCACTGACTGACGCAGTTTGGAGACTCGGAGGGACCGAAGCTGGCTATATTGAAGTTATCGAAGCACCATTTCTTGTGTTTCCAAAACTGTTAGTTGGAAGCCTTTTGGTACCAAACGCACTAAATGTTTTACTACCAGATTCAGCAATTCATCTTCTGGACAAAGGGTAGGAATACAACTTTCAACATGTAATTTTAGTAATCAAGCAATGTGAAAGTTCTTTTTTTCCCTAATTTAGGCAGTACTGCCTTCTTTCTTGTATCCCTGCGTATGTAAAACCTGTCTCTATCAATGCTATTATTACTACCATGTGGTTGTTTTTAAATAATTGTTCTTTTGTCTGCAAAGGCTTATTTTAAGTTAATTCAGTCAGAACAACTAATAATTAGCACTGTTTAGTATTTTTGTATGAGTGTGAAGTGAATATGTGCACCTTGTAACGTATAAGTGTGATTTTTTTGAAAATCTTTATATTGGTATTGAAAAGATCCACCCATTTCTCCACCTAATTTTAGGAAACAAAATTTCCTAATAGATCTCAAACCTCAGCTTCAAGACCGGTTTTATCAGTCTGGTTTACTCGGCATTGGACTTCAAATTAACTGCTTATGTTGCTGGGTGAAGATCTGAGTCTGTGCAAAATGAAAAATCTTGATACTTTACATTTTAATCAAAAAGGCAATTGCATTTAAATGATTATACTACAGTGGTATCTATTGTAGATTATTTTGAGAAGCTTAAAAAAGCATGAAATAATGATGCAGCAAATGTATTGAAAATGCACTGGTAAATTTATCAAAACGATATCTAAATTCTGAAATTCTTCTGCTCAAAATGGAGTCTTATATACAAAATAACGTGGGTTGAATCTGTTTTGAAGAAATGTCACCTGGGAAATGGAAAGGAGACATTTTGCCATTTCTGCAAACTCCAGTTCCTTATCTCTGATTCTGTTCTCCCTCCTCAGCCACTGTCTTGAGATGAACCAGACTTTTGAGAACTTCACCGTGTTCATGTGAGCACAGTGACGCAAGCTTCTGATATGTCTACTTCACCAACTCATTCCCCAACCTGAGCCCATCATCATATCCTCCTCCTCCTCTCAAAGATTGCCCATTTCTCCCAATGAAACATTCCCTGTCTTTGCCACAACAGCCCATCTACTGAAGCCAGCAGTCCTGATTTTGTCATCACCAGATTTAATTAATTAATCATTTAATAATGCTCTCCTACCTGATTCTTTTATTTTGTCCTCCACATTGCTGAAACTCAAATGCTTTCAAACATTGCTCTATTATTTTAACTGGCACTGAATTCAACACAAACATTGTTCCCAGTCTAGCAGTGATCCCTGTTTCCCAATTTCCTCTGTTTACAATTCTTATACTTGTGTTAAAATCCTATTTAACAGAATGTTTTAAGGAATGTCTTGAAGGATATCCCTGACTTAGCCTTTCATTAGTCCTCTTAATGTCTCTTCCTTTTGGTTTGGACAATTTTGACTCATTGCAATCCCGTGCAACCTCTAGGTAATTTTCCCAATACTAAAGGCACCGCGAGCAGGTTGTTTTGCAGCTTTCAATTAATCTGATTTAGATATTCTGCTTGAGGGTCAATTCACCCAAATGTTGTATGTTTTACAATCTGTCTTCCAATTTGGGAGATCATCCTGGTTCCAGTCTGGTGTTCTTCACCTTGTATCTGTAGCCTTGCAAAAGTAAAGCCAGCAAACTGGCTCCAACTCCCAGATCCATAAGTAGGCATTCACTAAAATAAGATGAACAAGACAGTAGCGTATGTGTATATATAACTACAGCTAGTGGCAGGGAAACGAAAGGGTTTGCTTCCAGCCACATTTGTAAACACAAAAACTTTCATCCCACTCTATGAAACATCCCACCTTTCATTGGTAGGGATAAGCTTTCACTAGGAACACTGGATAATGAGGAGTAGTATGCACAGTAATAATCATTCCAATAAACTAAAATAGTGGCTCTTGAGCTTTAACTTCTGCTGATATGTGCTTAAAAAATATGAAGTAATAGCTAGATAATCAAAAGCAATTGATAATTAATGCTATGAGCTGCTTACCTTGTGTTAAAGAATTATCTGAATACTATACTGACTACAGCTGTGATCTGGATACTGGGGAAATTTCTGTCTTGAGAATTACAGTGAATTAATCTATTGTGCAATTAGATACCTAACATGCTGTATAAGTACGTGCAACTCAGTAGTCTGATGTGATCAATATCTTCACACGTGGAACCGTGTGACAGATGATTGACCTTGTCATTTGTTATCATCTCATGGAAAGACATTGTCTTGTGATGCATTGCAATCCTCTGTTATAGATGATATATGAGAATAACTCTATTCTGATTTTTGTCAAGGTTTTATTGCCATAAAGTGAAGATGAACATAGCTGGAGAACTTGGCCGTCTGAGTTCACTTATAAGTATCCGAGGGAAAACCTTTTTCTCCTTCTTCCTTAATTCCTTTGAAACTGATGCTTCCCTTCCAGTTTTAGTTAAGGTGTGTTTTCAAACAAAAATATGACCTACATTTAAATAGAATTTTTATTGGCCTCAAATGTGTATAAGCTTTGTGTAATGTAAAATCTGGTTAATCTCTTGATATTTCACACCTTTATCAATTTGTGCAATGATTTGCTTTGACTGTAGGTTTTCAAAATAGCAAGATTTCAAAGGAATGTTACAGCCCTCTAAGCTTCATCAGATTTCTATTAATCTGTCATCAAATTTCTGTAGTTGAATTATTATCAACTTATTTCTGAGTGTGTTAATAAATAAAAAGTTCTGCATTGGCAACAGTTGCCCCTTCAGTAGCTGATGCTGGGTATGTTAGTTGGCTGAGTTGCAGTGAACAAATACTTGGAAGTCACTGCTTTAATAACTTTTCTGTATTAAAATGAATAGGACCCTGTCTGGTGGTAAAAATGGCCATTATTTAGGCGTTTGTATCTATTGTGAAACATCTGCTACAATCCATTATGTTGGTGTATGTCATAGGACAACACATTGGCCATAAGCATTACAGCATGTAGGTTTAGTTCTTCTCTCGGTTACTGTTGTGAATTGCCTGAAGGCTGTATCGTCTGTGGAGCAAGGCACAACATTAATGTTGGAAGTAGGAAGGGTAAACATAACTGGGTTTCACTAAATCGTGATATTAGGGAGTTATTTGCTTTCTTGAAATTCTTAATGAAGGCATTGATCCATTTTGACTAGAATAGTTAAGACCATTCAAAAAGGATGACCTAGGGCTTTTATACAAAAGTTCTATTTTGTTTATTACAGATATTACTTGGGCAGATTTCTTCCCAAATATATCTGCTTAATAGAATGATCAACACCTTTTACTAAATTATCTTTGGTTTCACTACACATCTAAATTTTTTGGAGAATCATTGTCTAAATTATGTTTCTAACAATTTTGTTAACTTTAAGCCTCTGAAAAAGCTGTTGTAAATGATTGTGCAGTCTCTATTTGAATTCATCAGTTTGCAATAGTACTGTAATGTCCTCAATGCAACTGAGTAATTTCCGGCTCCATTTTGCAAATCTTTGTATTTCTATTGGCTTTAATTTGATTTTCTTGTTTATTCAACATGATACTGGTAGTCGCTGAGTAAAATAGCGTTCAGGCAGCCTTGCTTTGTGACAATATTTGTCTGACAACACTACCTGCTGGAATTAATGTACCTCCCTAACTTTACAACTGAGGACTTGAATAACCCTTTAAAATAAACTAAACAAACTGAGGTGCACAGGAAAATACAGAATGCAACACTTTTTTTTTTTGCACACAATCATTCATTTACCCACCTTTACCCTGCCTTTTTTAAAGGATAGCTCTTGTATGTCACAGTTTTTCTAACCAGTTGCTCAGTGCAGTACTCTCATCAGAATTATTACATGCTGTGTATGTTAAAAATTAAAAATCTTGGATATTGTCAGTGTGCATATCTCTTATTGTGTTCTCATTTTAGGTTCCTGCCAAACTAATCTGGCATCGCTGCTTAGAAGTTTCAAAGCAATATGTAATAACGAAGGTCTTCATTACCAATCTGCAGGGTACCAGTTATAAGGTGTTTGTAGTGTCATTGTCTTCTGACTTCTACATTTATGTTGAGGGGTCTGTGAAAAAGCAAACTTTGGCAGAATTTATGAGTGTTTTACATATGAAGCAGACTTCTAAAAGTGAGCTAACATCACTTGTTTGTAAAGAAGAATCTCTTCAGAATAGGTCTTCTATTGACTGGTCGACACAAAACACCATAGAAGAAATGTTTGAGAGCAGACAGTCCAGAATATGTTCTTATCATGTGAGTACTTGGTGTTTTGCATTGGTTATGAATGAAGGCTTGGAAATGCACAGTGTTGTAAGATATAAGTATTTGTGTTCTTTTTAAGTGATGATTGCTTCACAAAGTCAATTGACTGTAGGAAATTAACTTATGTTTTTTTGTCAAACTCCCAGTATGTAGTTCCTATTCAATGTAATTGCAGCCCATAATACTGTTTCTCTTGAGTCTGTTGGGTTGTTGTGCCTTATTTTGGATGCTTGAGTTACATTGACTTGCAACTTTATAATATAACTCCGCAGTGCCATTAGACATGGGGAGTGAACCTAAGTTGATGGGGGAACGTGTCTTGGTTTTTTTAAAACAACTTTCTGTCCTGCACTTATCTGCACAAGCAGTTGTGTTTAGTATCTTCAAAGCCCTCCCACAAATGGTTACTCATTATTCTATGAGACTTGACAGTGGATGTTAGCAGGCTATTCAGCCAAACAAGATAACACACCTGAGATCAATGCTGCCTTATTTGGATGTCCCTTTGCAGGAATTTTCCAGCAATTGATGCTAGCTGTTCAAAATAAAAGTTGTGGCAGTTTTTCTCTTTTTGTAATTCAGGGCTGCTGAGGCAAGGGGCAGAACACTATTTCTGCATCTGCTGATGGCGGTTGACATGAGAGTCCAAAGATCAAACTAGAAGTTCACTGGTATGTGGTGCTCAGACGCCCAAGTTTTAACTATCTGAGACAGCAGGAGAGCCCTGTTAAAGATGTGTGCAATCAACAGTGCAAACATATGTATGTTTGATGAGGGAGATAATTTATTTTTGGTCTTTCGACACCATAGCTGGGAAAGTGTGACTTTGCATGAATAAAAGAATGTGGGTGTCACTGGCTGGGCCAGAAATTACTGCCCAACTGTTTCCCGTGAATAGGTACTGGTGAGCTACCTTCTTGAACTGCTGCAGAAGTTTTCTCTCCACACTCTGCCCCCCCATTCTTCCTTTGGTACTGCTGTGAAGTTGGTCATGGAAAGATGCAGCTGGTGGCAGTGATTATTCACCAATCTCAAGTGTAGCTTCCTGTTAGTGGCATCCTTGCATGTTCTTGGATCTACTTTTCAATAATTACTTTGGAGCTTTCAGTGTCGTAAAGTGCAGATATCAATTTTATATCCTTGGATGTATGACTCCATGATGCAAGTTGAATATTCAAGGCTCTGTATTGCCTGAGGTTTGGCTAGTCTATTAACTTTTCTCTCCCTTTTCGTTGCTTTAGGGTATGATAAGTAAGGTATTAAACATTGCAGCAGGCCTTTATGAGCTGGACGGTAAATTTGGTCTTTGTGTGGCTTATCAACAAGTAGTGAATTATGGACGTGGTTTGCGCCCTGGAGCACAAGTGAAGGTATAAATATTTGATGTTTCAAATGTATTTTCCTTCCAGTTAATATTTCTATCTTCCCTGTGCACTTTATAATGACTGTATTCTCTTTCATCTGGAAAGGTAATTTGGATAGATGACCTGCACTGTGGAGGTAGTTTCATTGTATCTGCTGGTTATCCAAGATCTGTACAGTTAGGGTAAAGGATGGCTGTCATCTGTATCTCATAGTGCTGAACTAAATCTCCTAGCTCACAGGTACACCTTTACAGATGTGACACTGTACAATGGTGCGTTACAAATGTGATACTTGAGTGTGTTGGTTTGCTGAAAGATCAGCCATATACTGAAATTGGACTGTATTTTATAACTCTAAAGTTTTGAGCATTAGGCATTTCAGTACTCCTTATCACTTATTCAGTGATATGAAGCTCTACATTGATTTAAAAGAAAATAAAGAACTGCAGATGCTGGAAATCTGAAACATAAACAGAAACTGAAATTGCTGGAGAAACTCAGCAGATCTGGCAGCAATTATGAAGAAGGCTCACAGGACCCAAAACATTAACTCAATATTGTTTATCTGGTTTGTATACTAAAGAGGAACAGTTTTCCACAAAGTTGTTTTTGAAGAACTAATCAATAATAAGGCGGTAATCATTTTCTTACCAAGCCTGGTTAATATTTCTCCATCGGTATTCTTGATACTGCTTGTTGATCAGCTCTCAGGTTTTTAATGCTAACCTAATGTTAACAGTTTTGTATCCCCCCGACAACTGCAAAATGCTCCATCTTGTGGCCCAATCTGGAGTTTCCAGAGCACAAGTTTCTAATGACAGACAAGACTCAAAGTTAGGAGCGGCTCAGCTAGCTAAGAGTAAATAGTGCGTATCTCCCATTTTAATAGTGTGTTATTGAAAATTTAAATTAATATTATCAGTGAAGCAAATAACCATTCCATTCTTGGCTAGCACTATGAGCTCTCCTGGTAAACATGTACTCTTAAGCTTTAATATTTTAATACACTCAGATTGGGCAAAATCTTGTGCCCTCCCAGTAGCACGATGCAAGGTTGGCAGGGGAACTTAATTGTGCAAGAGGCCAAAAATCTAAATTGCAATAGTGGGATGAATTTTTGCATTTAATTCTCAAACTTTAAAGACAGGTGGAGGTGTCCAACTGCAAGCATTGCATGAATGATTGATTATTAAAAGGCCAGTTTGCTAAAATAAACTTCACCGTCTCAATCAAATTCTCCACAAACGAGTAGCATTTGCCCTCTTATTTCCAGCTGCATAGAAATGATGTACAACAGGGAAGGTACTGTCCTTGTTGAATTTGAGAGTGAGAAGCCACTGCTTTGCCCTCAAATCTTCATCGTGTTGTGCCAAGATTGACCTTGGTGGCAATACCTTGCGCTACATTGAGATTGAAGGATGCAAGAACTGCAGATGCTAGAGTTAGAGTCGATACAGTGTGGAGTTGGGGGAACATAGCAGATCAGGCAGCATTAGAGGAGCTGGAGAGTTGATGTTTCGGGTCCGGACCCTTCTTCAGGACTGATAAAGGGTTCCGACCCGACATGTTGACTCTCCTGCTCCTTTGATGCTGCCTGACCTGCTGTGTTCCTCCGGCTCCACACTGTATTGATTGAGATTGGAGGATGCTTGACAGCGGGAAGTTCGGAATGTAATGCACATGCAACAAAGAGGCTGGGCAAAGGTGGAAGCCTGCCTGATGAAAGGAGGCATGCTGACCTGGGAATGGTGGAAGGGCCGATGTGTTTAGCTGCAGGCATCCATTCTTGAGAACTTAAGTGTGGCCCCTGGCTTGCAGGGAATGAATGCCTGTCTGGGTGCCTTGTAAACTTGCTGCCAGGACCTTCGACCCCTCATTAACAACAGAGGTATCAACTTCCTGCTGTCTGCAACCAACAGATTGGCTGCGCCTCTGTGCTAGCATGGAGATGAGCTGAGAACTGCATAATTATGGGAGAAAAGCCAAACAATCCTGAATGGAAGTGACACTCGCTTCCGTGCCTGCTACCAAATGTAAATTCCACAATGGAAGTTTCTATTCCTACTCCTTTTATTTCCTTGCTAGATTTTACTACATACATATAAATTTATAAGAAAGGAGTAGGAGTAGTCCATTTGACCTGCTCCATCATTCAATAAGGTCATGGCTGATCTGATTATAACCACAAATCAACATTTCTGCCTATTCCTAATAACCTTTCGCCCCACTTGCTTAGCAAGCGCCTATTTGCCACTGCTTTAAAAATATTCAAGGCGTTGCTTCTGGGGAGTTTCAAAGACTTGCAACCATCTGAGAGAAAACATTTTGCCTTATCTTTGTCTTAAATGGGCAACATCTTATTTTAAAACAGAGACCTCTAGTTTCAGATTTTTCCTGCAAGAAGAAATGTCCTTTTCATATTCACCCTGTCAAGCCTTCTTAGGATCTTGAATGGCAACAGGGAGATCTGAAATCACTCAGCCTTCTGAGAGAAATCCTTCACATTACAGTCTTAAATTTGGCACCCCTTTCTTCTGAGTCTGTGCCCTCTGGCCCTAGGCTTTCCCATGTGGGGAAGCGTCATCTCTGCTTTTACGCTGCCAAGTCCCTTAAGACTCCTATATGTTTCAATGAGATTATCTCTTGTTCTTCTATATGCTAGTGAGTAAAGTCCCACTTTGTTTAGCCTTTTCTCTCCAGACAATCCTTCCGCACTAGGGACCATCCTTCCAATGAAATGAAATGCTTTCTTAAACAAGAGGACCATTACTCTCATTACTCCCAGATGTACAGATACTCAGCTGTCCTTGTATGATAATAGTAAGTTTTCTTTGCTCTTATACTCCAACTTCCTTGAAATAAGGACCAAAATTCCATTCGCCTTCCTGATTATCTCCTGCACCCATATGCTGGCTTTCTGAGTTCTGTGCACTAATGCCTCCAAGATGCTTTGCGTTGCAGTTTTTATCCATTCTCCCTCATGTGTCCCTGTGCTTATTTAAACAAGCTGAAGGATCTTCAGAACTATTGGGAAATTGCAAAAGCTGGGATTCCTGCATTCTTTCCCTCTGCCCCTTTACCAGCTTCATTTGCAGTCACATTCACCTGTCCCTGACAATGATTAAATCAGAAAACCTTTTCCTAAGGGATGTGATTGCATTCTGGTACAACGCCTCCAGTAACTCTCCCTACCCTAATGTGGTGTTGTATCTGCAGCTGGGCCTTTAGCTTGTAAATGTGACCCAAGCTTCTCTTGGAACAACTGCTTATTGCTAGCATATTTGTCCTGAATCAAGTTGCATTCAAGGGCTTCTACGAGCTGCAGCTGTGAGACATCAGCTGTTATGCCATCCATAAAGTGTTTTAATTAACTAAGTTATTTTGTTCACTGAGTTAATTTCCTTTTGTTTCGATGCTTCTTACCATCAGTTCCTTTACAATTTGAAACCTTAGGAATAGAATAGATCTTAACCACTTACCAGATGAAAGAGTTAGAAAAATGAAGGAACACCCTGAACCTAATTCCCATGCACATTAAACTTGCAGCATTTTGTTCAGCACTGCCACTGCCCGTGCCGTCCTGCCCCCGCCCCCGGCTGCGTGCTTGTGTTTTGCACTGAGATATATGGTTTTTAAATGCTTCTGAAGCAAAAACTGGCATAATCATCACTCAGTTACCATTAACATCCTGGAGTTACCATTGATCAAAAACTTAACTAGACCAACCATATAAATTCTTTGTGGATGTAGAGAAGACCAGAAGCTGGGAAGTTTGCAGTAAATAACTCACCTGCTAACTTTTCAAAATTGATCTAACAAGATACTGAATAAGGAACATGATGGAATACTTGCCCCTTGCCTTTTGGAGTACAGCCATAAATAGATTCAAGATAACTCCATAATGTCTGGCTGAAAGAACCTCTTTGATCAATATCCCATTTACTACCTTAAATGCTACTCACGTAACCAATCATACACAGTGAATATGTACGTGCTCCCTAATACCACAGTGGATGTACTTCTACCGTGAGTTTTTCAGTCGCTAACTGCCACCTTCAAGATGGGGATGATCAGTCATCGATGCTTGCATCTCGTGCATTGCCAGTGATGTTTGTTTCTCTCACATTTTTTTTAAACAAAGAATATTTTAAGCTGTATAACACAAGGGGCAAAGTGCTGGTGCTGCAGCTTTAATGATAACTATGTTGGAAGCAGTAAAATGGGTAAAGCATTCAAACACATTCAACTTTTTTTATCTTGATGAATATTAGTGGCACTACCTATAATCAATCCTGGAAGCACAATGTTGACGGGAATTAACATCTTCAACTTTGCAGGACGGCTGGTGCAGTATACACTTGCTACTTTAATGGACATTAAAGCTGAAAAACTCTGTAGAAAAGTTGAATATAAATATGTCATGAAAATATCAGTGTTTCTCATTGTATATGAAAACTTGTAATTTTGTTCTTGTAGATCCATGATGCTCATGTGCACCAGAAGGCATCTGACCATTTTCCACACATCATACTTTGCTGCTGCCTGAGGAGTACTTTGGTGATCACAGAATTTTCTGGGCTTAGTACAGAATTTCAGCCCTTCTCTTCCAGTGGCAATGTTTACATCAGTTTGTTGTTCAAGTATAATCTGGATCTGCCCAATTATTTGTGGGTGGTTCATATTATAGAAACATTTACACAAAGGTAGCTATATAAATCTTTACATTCTTGCAGCATGTAGGCACATTAAATTGCAAATGTACTATTATCTTCATGTTTTTTTTTAAACCTTGAGAAGCTGTCCACATTTCTTCATTATTTCCCTCACTGTCTTCTGTTCTGTGTAACTGACTCAACTTTGAAGACCAAAGCAAGGGAAGATGCAGTGGATATTAATAAAAATGAGTTGGCTACGGCATTCTGGCTAAGTTTGCAGATGATACAAAGATAGGTGGAGGGACAGGTAGTATTGAGGAGGTGGCGAGGCTGGATAGGTTAGGAGAGTGGACAAAGAAGTGGCAGATGGAGTACAACGTGGGAAAGTGTGAGGTCGTGCATTTTGGTAAGAAGAACAAAAGCATGGACTATTTTCTAACTGGGGAGAAAACTCCGAAGTCTGAAGTGCAAAGAGACTTGGGAGTTCTAGTCCAGGATTCTCTCAAGATAAACAGGTTGCGTCAGTAGTCAGGAAGGCAAATGCAATCATTTATTTTGAGAGGACTTGAATATAAAAGCAGGGATGTACTACTGAGGCTTTATAAGGCGTTGGTCAGGCCACATTTGGAGAATTGCATGCAGTTTTGGGCCCCATATCTCAGGAAGAATATACCGGCCCTGGAGCAGGTTCAGAGGAGGTTACGAGAATGGTCCCAGGAATGGAAAGCTTAACGTGTGAGGAACTTTTGAGGACTCTGGGACTATACTCGTTGGAGTTTAGAAGGATGAGGGGGGATCTAATTGAAACTTTCAAAATACTGGACAAAGTGGATGTTGGGAAGATGCTTCTGTTGGTAGGAGAGTCTAGGACCCAAGGGCAAAGCCTTATAGTAAAGGGAAGACCTTTTAGAACGGAGATAAGGAGAAACTTCTTCAGCCAGAGAGTGGTGAATCTATGGAATTCACTGCTACAGAAGACTGTGGAGGCCAGGTCATTGAGTATACTTAAGACTGAGATAGATAGGTTCTTGATTATCAAGGGTTACGGGGAGAAAGCAGGAGAATGGGGATGAGGAACTTATCAGCCATGATTGAATGGCAGAGCAGACTCGATGGGCCGAATGGCCTAATTTCTGCTCCTCTGTCTTATGGTCTTATGACATGCAGCTGTATATTGAAAGCTTTATTATCATGTTGCAAACTAAAATGGTTTAAGTACTTGAAATCTCCTACAACTTTTGAATGTCTGCACAGCATTGTAGAGGTAACAGAGTACCTTATACAGGTTTTGTTTTAAACATTGTTTTTACTTTGGATATAAACTACAGTAATTTACAGGAGACCATTTCATCTAGTTTTTATTACAAGAACAAATATTCAAATTATGTCATATGTCAATGTACTGATGTCTTTTACATTATATGATTGACTGCATCAGTGGCTATACAAAATAATCTCCGAGTAATGCTCTCCTAACCTCTTTGCGTCTCGTCACCTCCTCTCCTTCACCTGCCCTTTTTCTTGGAATGAGAGGATCGAAATGTATGAAACAACAAGTAGTTTTTTATGGTATTTAAAAAGATACTAATAGTTGCAATGTAAATGTGCCAGTTGTCTCTTTGAAAACAATATATGCTTTGCAATGTTAAATAAGGAAGTAAGGTGTCTGTTTGCCCATTATATGCATCAGCCTTAAGCCACCTTCCAGTTCTCAGTTTGTACCTCAACTGCGATTTTTTTAAAAAAGGTTTCTGCCTCTTATCGCAACGTCAGGCAGAGAGTCAAAACATTGGTGGAACTGATTCAGTTTGATGCTTCCTCCTTTTGGATGAACACTGCTGCTATTACGCTATGCATAAATATGAGGGTGTATTTTTCAATTGAATTTCTTAATAATTTTCCATGATATTTTATCCCCCCTCAACATCTGTATATAATAAACCACAAAGAATAGTTACCTGCCATAAAATGCAGGTTTTTTTTAATTGGGGAAAAAAGCTAAAGAAGTAGAAAGATAACCAAAGTCAACAGGTATTCAGAGCTTGCTGTATACTTTCAAAAGTAACTGTCATAGTTAACTATAAACTTGACATGCATTTTACATACACAAATAATGCTCAAAAAGCAGGCTTTTGAGATTAACTGTTAGACGGAGAAAGAAAGATCATTTACAAAGCTAAACAGATGCATTGATAGAATCTGATCTGAATGACCGTATTTTATAGTTTCGTCATGTACAGATGTTGCAAAGGGAGATGAAATGTAATGGAACATTACTATTACTACATTCTATTTCTTTAGTTATACTGTTTGTAGAAGGTTGGGGCAATTATTAAATGAAGGACACTTAAAGAAACCTATTACTATGGTTTTACAAGAAGTCACTGTCATCTCTTTTCATTTGTATTATAGATTTTGCCCTCAGTTCCTTACAAAGCAGCACATCCTAATGTGTGATATTGATTCTGGAATCATTGGAATGTTTTTCAACTCTGTTCTGAAATATACCAGGTGGAATAAATCAGTGAGAAACATCCACCAGGAGATATTGGCTGAGTCACATCATTGTCCTCTTAAAGAAGTACGTACGTATTCAATTTTGTCAGGTCATGTACATAAAGTACAACACTTAATGTGTCCTTAATTAAATGTGCATTTAATATTAAAAAAAAAGTGGCCCGGATTATTTTCCCATACCCCACCATGTTGCTTTCCAATTTTCTTTCTTGATAACATTATTCTTTGGCAAGGGTACATTTCTTTTGGAGTCTTGATATTTATTACCTTGTCCAGGAATGCACTTCAGCAGACCACTAAGATAACTGAGTCCTTTCAAGGCAAAATAACATGAGCTACAAATTAGATACCAGAATGTTAGTTGGTTTTTATCTCCTCTGCAACATGCAGAAATGAGGCTAACTTTAATCCTGTGACTGAGCAGTACAACTGGTGATCTCTGTGGTCTATGTTTCAGCTACTCATTGGGTTAATTAACCGTGCATGGAGTCAACACTGCATTAATTACAGTTGCTAAACTGGAGAGTAATCTGTACATGTGGCCTCTTGTGCATCCACTTCACCTTCCAGCTAGCAGATGCACTTTTTCCTTCCTGGATTCCCTGTCTCGAATTTTGTGCTAGGCATTTCAACCCCCTCATGCACCATACCCCTTTCTCATAATCTTTCTTTTAAGGCTGTCCTTAGCACCCAACTCTTAGCTGATTTTTAATTTCACCTCTAAAATGTTTTGTCAGATTTTTGTGTTAAAGGCATGTTTAAATGCAGATAGTATTTGTTATTTTCAAGGTATTTGCTTCAAGACTGTACATATTGAAAACTGAGAATGTATCTGCTCTTTCCTAATCTCCTTTGCTGTCAGTTTTTATGTTAAATATCGCTTCTTGTGTGTCTTGTAAGCTTTTGGTACTCTATTTCTTCTGCCCATCATTATTGGTTGAGATAAACACCTTGCTTTTTGTGGCTTAAAGAAAGCATGAAAGACCTGCACTTACGTGGTGACTTCCATAGCCTTAAGGTATCTTAAAGTGCATGACATATGAACAAAAGGCTTGCCTAGGCCATTCAGAGCCTCTCGCTTGCTCCATGTGATCGTGGTTGGTTTGATTGTGACCTCAAATCCACATTCACATCTACCCCTGAACCTTTAAACTCATGCTTAATAAGAATCTATCTACTGCTGTCTTAAAAATGTTCAAGGCATCTGCTTCTGCCAGCTTTTCATTGGAAAGTTCCAAAAGGTTCGACCATCTAAGAGAATATGTTTCATCTCAACAATTTTAAGTGAATGGCCCAAATCTTTTTAACAGCTTTTGATTCTTCCATAAGAAGAAACATCCTCTCCACATCTACCTTGTCAAGACCCCTCCAATCTTTTATGTTTCAATCAAGTCACCTTTTACTCTTCTAAATTCCATTGGATACAAATCCAGCCTGTCCAATCTTTTCTCATAAAACAAAAGAACAGATATTAAACCAGTAAACCACCTCTGAACTGTTCCAAAGTATTTATATCCCTCCTTTATACAAGATAACCAATACCTGTATATAGCACTCCAGTTAAGATCTCACCAATGCCCTGTATAACTGAAACATAACCTTGTTATTTTTGTATTCGGTTTCCTTATAATAATTGATAAGGTTCTGTTGCTTTCCTAATTATTTGCTGTACCTGCATATTAACCTTTGTGATTCATTTCACTGTGTACCAAGATCCTTCTGCATCTTGGAGCTCTGCAATCTCTCTCCATATTGATAATACAATTTATCATTCTTACATTGAAATGGACAATTTCAAGTCTTCCCACATTATATTCTATTTGTCGCATTTTCACTGAATAGCATATCTTTTTATAATAATACAAAAAACTGTGGAAATCTGAAACTAGCAAAACACATAAATTTGGGGAGAAACTTAGCGGCCCTGGTAGCATCTTTTGAAGAGAAAACAGTTAATGTTTTGAGTCTAGTGACCTTTCTTTGGAACGTGCATCTTTTTGTAGCCTCCTTATGTCCTCTTCACAACTTAATGTCCTACCTACCTTTGTATCATCAGCAAATTGGGCAAGCATACTTTCTGTTCTTTCATCCGTTTCATGTAGATAAATTGCAAACAGTTGAGGTTCCAGTGCCAGTTGCTGTGGCACACCACTCCTCTTGCCAACTTGAAAAAGATCATTATTATTATGCTACTCCTACACCATGGGCTTTTTTTCTCCACAATGACCTTTCATGTGTCACTTCATCAAATGCTTTCTGGAATCTAAAGTACAGTATATCCATTGGTTCCCCTTTATACATAGCATGCGGTGTAAGATTGATCTAATATGATTTCACTTTCATAAAAGCATATTGACTTTTCCTAATTATTGTGTATTCATCCATGTGATCTGCTATAACTTGTTTAATAGTTGCTTCTAATGTTTTCCCTATGGTAGATGCTAAACTAATGATTTGTAGTTTCCTGCATTCTGTCTCCTTCCCTTTTTGAATACAGGTGTTACATTTGCTATCTTCCACTCTAATGAGACCATCCTTGAATCGAGGAAGTTTGACAAAATTAAAACCAATACGTCAACTATCTCCATGCTCACTTTTTTTTTTATTAATACCCTGCTGTGAAGTCCATCAGGACCTGAGCACGTTAGCCCACAACCCCAACAATGTACTCAGCACCACTTCTCTGGTGACTGTAATTTTCCCGAGTGCCTCCCTCCTTTACATTTCATGATTTATCACTGCTTCTGGGATTTTAGTTTTACATATTTTTCCATCAACCTGTCCAGAGATATTATTACATCCCTGGTTATTACCCTGGTGTAAGACTTGAGCCCTGGCCTCCTGACTCAGGTAGGGACACTACCACTGCACCGCAAGAGCCCTTTGTCTAGTTTATAAACTAGTAACACAGAAGGCCTATCAGACTCACTTAATGAAGATCCAGTTTGAGCTGATCTTTCATTGGAAGCCTTCTTAAAATCCCAAATTAAAACTGGCAACAATAGAATTTAAACTCTAGGTTTTACTTTAATGCCAACTACAAACTAAAATGTAATTAGATTTGTACAAAATAAAAAGACTTTTTTAAATCCAACAACTGCATTTACTCGGTCCTAACTTTTAGAGTCTAATAAGTACGTCATGAAATGTCACTGATGTGATGTGGGAAACATGACTGTAAAGTTGCACAACAGCAATGTGATAATTACTCGATAATCTGTTTTTAAATATGTTGACTGGAACAACATCTTTCCAAGACAACAATTAGCATCTTGGTTTTAAAAATCTATCCTAAAAATTGTAGCTGTAACAATGTAGCAATCCTTCACTGCTGCCTGGAATTTTGCACTCTGATCTCTGGTGTGGGACCTGAAATTCCAATCATTTGACTCTGAGGGAGGAGTGCTATCTAATGAACCACACCTGACTCTCTTTTTTTTAATTTAACTTATTATTTTACCATCCGCTAATGTTATTTTATCCTCGTTTTTCTTTAGATCACACAACCAAGTTATCCGTGTCAGAATATATCATTATCAGAATTGCTATCTCTTGCTGAAGAAAGAGCCTGGCAATCTCTTCACTTGCCCTCTTTGTTGCCACATGCCGACATCAAATACTTGCTAGCTCAGCAGCTTAACAGTAAGCTTGCTTGGTCATTTGCAGTTTTAAAACCCGAAGATTTCCAACCTCAAATGGTATGTTATTGTTAGCAACATTACTTTCAATTTAAATAATGCCATACCTTTGATTAATAGTTTGCTAAATCATTATGATGTGATGTACCGATGTAACTGCCGATTTTTTTTGGTCAAAAGATAGGAGACATCAACAGTGCTTTGTGAACAGGAAAATTGCTGCAAGCAGTTAACACTGAGCCATTCAAATCAGGAGGTCCAGTTTTTATTGTTGGGCCTATGCCTCCCTGAGTTTGGGAGGGCTGGGAATTGACTTAACTCCTATTCCTAATCACTATCAATGTATCCTTTTTTGCTAAATGCATACACCATGATGTTGCTAAGGAATGGATGAGTTTGTTGCCTGCAATCCCCCAGATCCTTTAACATTGTGGAATAGCATACTGATACTTGTGAATGTAAAAGATGATCAGTTGGATAAGCTTTTTGTGAGCTGCTGTGTTTCTTTCATGACCATGGCATTGATGATGCATAGGAGAAAACAAGAAAATAAAAGTTGTTGAAGTAATCTACTCTCGCCACATGGTAGTTTTGTGATGAGCTCTATTGAATTTGTTTTAGTACATGATTCTCTGGAAATTAAGGCGTACTTATTTAAGGTGTAATGCCATCCAGTGCTTGAAACAGGTATTGCAATATTAATGTCCAGTGCATGTCCTAAAAATTGTAGCTATACTGGCTGGTCGGCATGCGACAATTTCATACTCGGCGAAAACACATTTTCTTGTGGAAGTAACAGTTTGGAAAAAATGCAGAATAAAGATTTTATTTGGCTAGCTTAACTGAAGAGATGCACACTGTGCCAATTGACTGCCTCGTGTTGTAATATGCAGTAATTCAATGGTTTGAAAAAAACGTCATAGAGAAAAAGTTGGCTCAAAATGACATTAAAAAATGTCCTTTTGATGACTGTTGGAAGTAATATCTTTCACTAAATACTGGTTTTGGACCATTAGCTCTCAAAAATAATTGCCAGTGTTAGGTTAGGTAAGAACCAAATAGCAAAGTTGACATGAGTCCCGTTCCTTGGGCCTTCCTGTCGTGAAATAGGAACTTGCCATTGTGTCTCCTACAGTGAACCATTCACAAAACCATGGTGCTTCATTTTTCTCCTAGTCGTTTTCCAATAGTCCACAAGGTTGATTTGTCATTTCTCCTACTCTTGCCCTTTATTGTAAACCTTGACTCTTTAATATAGTGTACCTTAATTTTAAAAATCAATTTGTAACGTGCCATTTTAAAGTCCTGGTTATTCCACATCCAAATGAAGATTTGTGACATTGTCAAATTACCAGACTGTATGACCATTATAATTTGAATAACAAAATTTATTATGCATAAAAGTTGTGCTACTCCACTGTAACTGTGTAATTGTGGTAAACTTGCCATCTGCATTTTAAGATAAAATAAGACATGATTTAAAATTTTGATTTTACTGTGGGAACCAGGCATCAAAAGAGATCTGCTTTGAAGATAGGATAAAACTGCCAGTGAAACTCCTGTATATGCCAGGCTAAATACCACAGTTGGAGAATATGTGAGGTTGTTGCATTTGACTTCACATATGGTCGATTAAACATTTGAACCTTAACTTCAACATGTTTTGCTCTTACCTCAATGGATAATAACCAGCCTTGTCCTTGAAATATGTACTTTAAATGCTTAACTATTTGCTTATGCTGTTCTATTTAATTGAATAATAAAGATAAAGTTAGGAATCTGAAGTTGAAGTCAAGAATTTCAGAGAGATTGGTCAACATCTCTAAATAGGACAGACAGGTTGACATTTTGATTACAAATTGTACAACATAGAACTGAACTTGGAAGCTTTGCTAGTCATTCCTGTTTTATTTATGATTTCCGGTATTTACTGTCAATCTAGTTTAATCCATTGGGTGTCTTGAATACATTTGAATTCTAGCTCATCTCCTTCCTTTATTTAACTCAAGATTTGAATGTTAGATGTTTCTCCAGGACGTGCTGTCTGTTGTTCTACAATTCAAAATGCTCAATCCAGACACTGAAGGGCAGACTTAATTTCTTGCTATATCCTCCCTCGGTCTGAGACAAAATATTACAATTTTGTAAGGCTATTGCCTGGATATATTGTGGGAATCCTGGTGGGAAAATATGGTTGTAGTATAGCAGTGTCAAATCTCAGCAGCTCATTTATGGATTTCACTAAAATTCCAATGGGAGCAATGAAAGTAAGAAAAAATCCCAAATTGCATAACACTTGTTCACTCATAAATATTACCTGTTCATCTCCCACTGTTGGACCATCTAATTTAATGATATTACTTGGACCCATCTCTTGTTTCCTGGTGCATACAAGGCATTTCTTTAGGACATCAATAAGCAAAGTGATGCGATTGCTCCTGAATAATCTGTTGGTAACATAGCTTTCAAAATAAGACCTTCCCAGTTAATCACGTTATTATACTCTGGACACACACTTTCTATCCAAGGATGTTAACTAATACTGCTTATTTAGAAAGGAGTGGTATCCCTTTTATTATTTCAAGGGAAAGTAGGTCAGAGTTAAATTGACTAGTGTGCCTTCCGTTAGCTCTATGTCAGCAGAATTTTCAAAGAATCCTTGAGGAAAGAAGAACGTTCAACTTCCTAATTTCTTTTTGCTTCTAGATACTGCATGGTGTCTTCCAGGCAAATTCTAGAACAGGTCATTTGCAGCTTCTAGACACATCGGGTACACTGGACTGTGTTGTACAGAACCTTAATGAAGTGAACCAAATTGCTTTTAGTGATACCTCATATTTGGGTAAGAACTTTGCAGTTAGAGTTTAGTTTTATGTATTGAATGCACTGGTCATTTGAAAAATAAATGTTACACTGAAATACTTCTAATTTCTTTAAAACAAACAATCTGTATATTCAACCTCAATGTTCCAAGTGTCAAAAGTGGGGGAAGCATGCAATCTGGAGTTGAGATTTACTGTTTATGATCAAATATGATAGCCTCAAAGTTTGCAGACAGCAAGAAAATATGCCTATTCAGATCATTCCTTCATCTGGAACACTTGAACAATGTCTGTACAGGTCTAGACTACACAGAGATTCAGCTGAACATCAAGTCCGTGCAAAGACTGAATATTTCTACAGGAAACTCTCAGCTAAAAAAAAACATACAACAAAGTAAAGTCCCTATAGAGCTAATGGACCATAGCGTTGTTCTCTCATTAAAGAGGTGACTGGTGATAGTTTAACCTGAGGGTCACTACACCTCAAGTGAGGGAAGAGTTGAGAAGGAGAGTCCTTCATGGTAACCTCAACCGGTGTAAGAATTGAACTTGCATCACTCTGCATCGCAAACCAGCTGTTGAGCCAACTGAGCTAATCAATATCCTATGTAGTAATTAATAAGCAAATCAATCTATACATCTGATGTATTCTTGCATCTACAATAAAATAACAAGAAGCATGCCCTATATAGCACAAGTTGGAAATATATATATAAAATAACAGTGTAGATATATGGAAATACAGCAAATCTGTCAACATTAAGAAAAAGAACAGTTGAAAATTTCATTAGAATGACCACTGCTTTCCCATGCTCATAATTACTGAGATTATCTTTATAATTTTGGTGTTTTCTGTATTATCTGTCTTCGCTTTTTGTCCAGAATTAGAGTTTCTGTTTTCCATTTCAGACTGTTTGGTCCAGCTGCGGAAATACCAACTGGTTATAGAACGATTCATTCACAGTGAGTTCCCATCATTTAAACAACTTGATGATCTTGCGTTTATCAAAGAGAAACACACCAGGTAAGTGTGCTTTAGAGAAGTTCAGAAAATTAATGTTAATTTTAAAGCTCCTAATCTACTCTAGAGATGATGTTTTACATTCCCTGCATTCATGAGAGTTATACTGGACTATACCATCAAGAATATAATGGACTGAGAGTAAGAAAACCTGTCAAGAACTCCATGTTGATGAAGTTTGGAATTTACCAAACATTTGTGATTGAACAATTATTTATATCTCATTTTAATCTATATGCATTGCCAAGGAGTGAACTTTGGGAGGAGATGTGCTATTGGTTCTTACAGACCAATAACTTCCTGCAAGTGTGAAGTTAGAATGTGGTACAGTCTGGATTGTATCTTGTGAAAATATTCACTCTATTAAAAGAAATTGGAGTTTCTACTTGATATTGTCCTGTCCTGTGTAGAATAGAGTTATCTGGGCAACTGTGGACATGATTTTGAATGTGTTCAATGTTAGTTTACTCTATTTTGAGAATATTGAGATTTAATTTGCATCTTGACTGTAAAGCCATTGTAAATAAGTAATTACCCAGTGTGTATAGTGTCCAGAGATCATTACACCAGGCCCATATACATTTTCCTTTCAGGATTAAATTTATAATAGTGAAGGCTGGAGCCAATTCTGAACTTAATTACAGCATAACAAATTCATACAAGCTGTAAGCACTGTCCCTTCACATGCTGAAATATCCTCAATTCAAAACTGGGCTCGGTGGTCCTGAGCTCAGAAGTATTAGCGAGGGAGCCTACTCCTGATTTTTTTCCCCAGCAATCCCTAATGATTGTGTGTTTTTTTTTTTTTTTTAAAATCAACCTGTTTGAAGCAACCCAGACTTAATCACACTGCCTTGCCCCCCCCCCACCCCTCTCTTTATATCTTTTATACCTTCCTCTGCTTCAAATATTTATTCACTTTGCCTGAAAAAATGAAATATTTGCATCAGCACATCCTTTGCAAAATAAATTTTGTAACTCCATGTTGCATTGGTGACAATTTGTCACTGATTTCCTAGAGAAAAAAAATTTCCCTATCAAACTAACTTTAATGACCTCTCTTAATTCATACCTGGCCTTCACCTATGCAAGTAGAAATAGTCTGAGCCCTTCATCTCCATCGTTATAATATGTTTCCCAACTTTCATGTTGCCCTGGTGAATCTACTGCGTACATTCTGTGTTTAATGTCCAGCTTTGTGAAATAACCCATTCATAATATTCAACTGAAAATATTCTGTGATGATGCTAATAAGATTTATCAATCATTGAAGTGAACGGTGATAAATGAATTCACAATGCAGTTATAAGTGCCATCTACCAAGTACAATCTTGACAATTTTGTTGTCAAACACACAAGGAATATGGTAATGAATTAGTTTCTAAAGAGCAATCTGCTCAAAAATGAACATGTTGATGTTGTCTCAGCACTTTGATATGTTACTTACTTGTTCCCCCAACAGTAGTTATGGCCTCTAGCAGTATGCTACACGCTATTGCAGTGGAAACAGATTGTGAACAATTTGGCTCTGCTACTGTTAATCATTCTACTCTCTTGCAAAAGTCCAGTTCTGATTAAATATGATAATTGTGTTAGAAAACCTGTTATTGTAAAAACAGTTCCATAAAGCTTAAAGATAAGGTAAATTATCTCAAATGACAATATACACAACAACTGAAGTATCCTAGTGTTCAAAAAACAAGTCTACCTTTGTAATGTGCCCAATTTTGCAAAAAACCCTGCCACTATAAAAAATAGTTAGTCCCTTGCTGTATTTCATCTTTATTCATTTCAAACCATTCTTTTTAGATGATACCTGTCACTATAAGTGTCCTGATAATTACCATTGAAGGAACTGTGGATTTGATTTCATATGTTTGTGTAGTTGGTTTAAATTCTTCATGAAAATCAAAATCATAAGAGTTAAAGAAAAAAGAAACTAGCATTTTATGATGTGATTCAAAACATCTCTTTGTAGCAGTACCCATCCAGGCAAGTGGAGAAGTCCATCAAACTCCTGATGTGAGCCTTGTAGTTGATGGCAAGGTGCAGAACTATTCATCTGCACTGGTCCAGTAGCCATATAGTTGATCTTAACTTGTTCAGTTCAGTGCAGTTCATTCCTGGTTAATTGTTTGGGACTTGGCAATAGAGATGCCATTGAAGTTTGATTGGAGATAACTGAGCTTTATCTTATTTGAAGTAAGATTATTTATTATCTAGTCTTAGCTAAGTTCAGCTGTAGGCTGGCATGGACTTCATTGGAGGAGTTAGAAATGATGCCAAATGCCATGGGATTTTCAGTTGTTTTCCTGGCTTGATCAAGAGAGGCAGCTTGAAATAGTTGAGCTGAGATAGAATGGCAAAAAACTTAATATCTGTTCTTCATCCACTTTGTGTTGAGCATCAGCTTCAGGAACTGCCAAACAAATTAGTACCTGAAATAAAGTAACCAATCACTTTGTGTAGGGGCTATGGTAATACATAGTCTGCTTATCTCTCACCTCCTGAAATGTTGTTTTAAATTAAACCTATCCAATGTTTTGTGAGAAATATCTTGTATCTTAATCTGGTATGGTGTCAAATTGATGTGATGTTAGTATACAATCCTGTTAGCCACCTTACCTGGATAAATCAATGTCTTGAATCATTTGTTTGTTCCTGGGAGTTAATACCCTATGCGAATCAAGTTTAATTTCATAGCAACATCTTAATATAAACTAATCACAAAAGCCCCTCCAGGTGAAAATGTCAAAACATGAAAGATAATCCAATTGACTGAATCAAATCAGATTTTTAATCCGAATTACTGTGCTGGATAAAATAGCTAGCCTCCAATTTATCATAAACGACAGCACTTTTTTTCCTGCTATCCCTTGCCCTTCAGTATTCCATTACCTGTTACCTTTAAAGTGTTTCTGTTCATTACTTTACTTTATTTTTCTTGCCCCAGAGCTCTTCACCCTTACAATGTTGCCATGTTTTAAGGTTAACACTGCCTCACCACTGCCGAAACAAAGGAATTAGTTTTGATAATGAAATCTCTTAATCCAAAACTGTCAATCATGGATTGAAATGCCCCAAGTGTAAGTTCACTGATCACTCAGTCGATTAAGGCAATGAGTAGGCTAATCCATCTGGTCCAAGAAACTTCTAGTCCTCTACTGTAGTGTTTGCTGCGTAAGTTTCCAGTTGAAATGTTAGAATTGTTTAGTGCATTTTGACAATGGGGGAAGAAAAACAACCAGTGTTTCAAAACTAGAAGCCAGAATTGTTATGCAGAATGTATTTGGTTACTTAATGGAGAGTGAAGGCTGGATGCGATGACCTTGCACTTGAATAACACCATACATTTATATAAAGCATTTAGCATTGTAAAACAACCAAAGGTGCTTCACAGTAATATTATCAGACAAAAAAAAAGAAATTGAATCAAATTAGATGATGTTAGGAATGGTGAAAGAGGTAGATTTAAAGGAGCAGAAAGAGTAGATGTTTAAGAAGGGAATTCCAACGCTTTATAGCCTAGATAGTTGAAAGTACTACTGCTAACAGAGGTGAAGACACCAGGAGATGTGTATGAGGCCAGAGTTAACTTTAAGCATTGGGGCTCAAAGGTACCAGAGAAAGAAAGGGAAATGCTGTGGGGGGATTTGAACAGAAGGATCAGGATTTTAAAATGGATGCCTTGGATCGGGAACCTACATAGGTCAGCATGTAGAGGAGTTAAATAAGAAAGGAACGTGGTTAGAATGTGGCTGGTGGAGTTTTGAATGATATTGTATCTATGAAAAGTGGAAGATATAGGATTGCCCAAAGAAATGTGGAATACTTGAGTCTGAAAATAACAAACAGGGATGATAATTTCAGCTGCAGATGAATATCATTATAGTGATGGTTGTTGGTAGCTTGTGTGATGATGGAGAGATGGTATCCAAAGCTCAGCTCAGTGAAGTACAATGCTGAGATTGTAAATAAATTCTTTCAGCCTGAGATTGAAGCCTGGACAGAAGAGCACAAATATTGGTTACAAAATGAAGAGTTGTGTTTAGGACTGAAAGTAATGGCTTCAGTTTTCTAAATGTTTAATTGCAATAAATTTAAGGCATATCCAGGACTGAATGTCAGACAAACAGATTGACCACGTGAAACAACAGAGGAGTCAAAAGAGTTGGTGGTGAGGTAGAGCTAGATGTCATCAATATTTGGAGACATATTTGTATTTCAATTTGAAAGGCTGTGTTCTCAGAAGATTACACTAGGGCACATGTTGCTCGGTGTGGAGATTTGAGGTTCCAGAAGTCATGGGTGTAGGGATGGGGAGCAAAGCTATTGCATGAGATTCTCTGCCCATGACTGTTTGGGTAAGTGTGTAATCAGGTGACAGGAGTCCCTTTCAACTGGACAGTAAAGAACTGTTGGAAGAGAATAGTTAGTCAAATATGTCAGGTTGAAGACACATCATGTAAGATGAGGAACAATAATACACCAAAATCATACATCAGATGTTAATTGTGACTTCAGTTAGGGCTATTAGAATACTGTGGCGGGGAGAAACGTGATTGGAGAGAGACTAATGTGACACTCATTGTCAGAACTAGTACGTGTAGAGATAGCTTTTGAAGAAAGGAGAAAGAGAGCTTCATTGAAACTGTAGTCCATTAACAAGTTTCATGAAAGAAGCAGAGACATTACTGCAAAATCTCACTCTTTTTCTGAGGGATTTCCTTTATTTATTTATGGAAATGTTGCAGGGCTTAGAATTTTGAAAGCATCAAATGACCAACATCTATGTTGCTTGACCTCCCTCAACTGCTAACCTGATCCTGTTGTCCGTAAATACTTCCCTCTTTTAACTAGATGCTATGGAATAGAGTTGAAAGAAAAATCCTAGATGTTGGAAGCAAAAATGAAACATGCACTTATGTAATCCCAAAGAGTAGTAGAGTGGATTAAGTACATCCGAAGTAAATATGCTGTTGTAATGTAGTGTAATACATCAGTAGATTTGTGTACAGGAAGCTCCCACAAATGGCATTGATTATCTATTTTGCTAAAAGTGCTGGAAATATCTACTTGGTCTGTTATCAAAAATGAGGCCGGTGTTATTTTGGTGACACATTTTTTGATTGAATTGACTAACTTCACTTCTTGTGAGTAGAGAAATTGACCAAATTGGTCTCAAGATGCATGTCTAGGTTGAGAATTATAGAATTCCTACAGCCTGGATGCAGCTATTTGGCCCATCGAGTCTACACCGATCTTCTGAAGAGCATCGAACCCATACCTATCCACTCGCCCTCCCCAACCTTATCCCTGCATTTCCCAAGGCTAATCCACCGAGCCAGCACATCCCCAGGCGTTATGGGCAATTTAAAATGGTCAATACATCTAACCTGCATGCCTTTGGATTGTGGGAGGAAGCAGGGAGCACCCGGAGGAAACACACGCAGACGTGGGGAGAATGTCTCTGGAGTTTGCACAGTTAACTAAGGGTGGAATCGAATTCGGGTCCCTGGTGCTGAGAGGCAGCAGCATTAACTACTGAGTAATCCTAAAAATTTTCTTTGAAAGTAAAACGGTAAATCTTTGCTCTGAACTGACTAAAGTCTCCTCTCACCCGTCCAAAGAGCAAAGCAGACTAATTGTTTCACTTTATGTACATGGAATGCCATTGTTGTGTCTGAAGACAGTTCAAACAGGTTTCCAAAATCAGTGTAGAATTCAGTTTTGTGTGCCAAACAAAGTCTACAAAATGCCAGCTGCCCATGCCTAAAAATGCAGCTTTACACAATTTTCAAGAATTAATCTCAGCCAAGCATAATTAGATTAGAGACATGGGTCCCCTTTAAGATTCTTGTGAAGATTTGTAGCTTGGATTGTGGATGAGGTTGTTGGCTTGCTTGCCGAGCTGGCTGGTTATTGTACAGATGTTTTATCACTATGCTAGACAGACAACTCCAAGAGGACATAGTATGCCCCAAGACACTGGCCACACTACCCTACATCAAGAACATATCAGAACTGACAACGAGACTCCTGCGACCACTAGGAATCATGGTAGCACACAAACCCACAGTCAAACTACAACAAACACTCACAAGGACCAAAGACCCCATACCCCTGACATGCAGTACTAATGTAGTTTACAAAATACCTTGCAATGACTGCAACAAACATTACGTCGGTCAGACCGGAAGAAAACTAGCCATTGGGATACACTGACACCACCTAGCAGCAAAACGACACAAAGACCTTTCCCTCATCTCAGTACACTCGGACAATGAAGGCCATCAATTTAACTCGGACAACATGACCAACTTAGCTCAAGTCAAACACAGACATGCACAGGAATTCTTAGAGGCCTGGTTTTCAACCCGTAATGCAATCAACTAACCTGTGGAATTAGACTGCATATACAAACCCCTGCAGAACAGAACCAGAAATGTTACAACCCAACTTAACAGACGAGATCATATAAATACCAAGCAGAGTAGAACAACATCGCTTCATCGGAGGCCACACTGATGATGTTACCTAGCATGGTAATGAAACATCTGTAGAATAACTAGCCAGCTCAGTGAGCAAGCCAATAACCAGCCAGCTCGGCGAGCAAGCCAATAACCACATGTCCCCACCTGAGTCATCAGTTACGAGTAAGGGAATTGCCATTGAGCTCAGAATTGGGCACATTATTGATATTCCCTAAGTATGTAAAGACTAATGTCTGCCGAATAATCCAGCAACATTCACAAACGCTAACCTAAAGAACGATTGTTTCAGCAGATGCTTTGATGCCACCCACATCCTGCAGAATGAAGTACAAAGAAAAACTTGCATTTGTGTAGTGACTTTCATAACCTATTGACATCCTGAGTGTTTTACAGCTAATAAACTTTTGAAATGTATTAACAGTTGTGATGTAGGGAACATGGCAGCCAAAAAAAAACAAAGTAATAATGGTAGGATTATCTGTTCTTGAGGTGTTGAGGGAACCAGGGATAACTTGCCCTGCACCTATTTTAAATAGTACCTTTCGGGAGAGGAAGCAGAAATTTCAACTCTTTTTAGAAAAAGATCTATGAACATTTGCTTGTATAATTCTATCAGACTGATTATATTGCGTGAATACTAGACTACGTGAGTTTAAGACGTGATTTAAAAACCGATTTTCAACTGAACATAAGCAACATGCTGAAAATTTGAGTTTCATCCGTGTATTCTTTGTTCACCCCCTAATAATTGCACGAATAATGCACAAGTATTGTACAGAAGTCTTGGTGAAAAGCATTCTGGTCAAACCGGTTGTTGGCTTAAAACCGATCATTTGGGTGCGGCTAAACTTTTTTTATTGCAAAATTAAAATAAAACAATTAAAATGAGAGGCATTGTCCTTCCAGATTGAACTGTGCAGCTTTCTTCACCTCACAAACATGGCAAAATGTACTTGTCCAGGATTTAGTTTCTCTTTAAAAGGCTCTGCAGTATTTTTCCATTGCAGCCTGTCGACGTGGCAGGGGTTGTCTTTTGTCGCGCACGATGGGAGAGGATTGGGGAAGGGATTGAGTTGAAAGCGAATGCGTAATGGCAGTTGGAGGTGAACAGTGAAATTTTGTAATTGAGGCTGGGACTCTAGACTAATTTTTCAGCGATGAATCCTTTTTTTTTAATGCTTTGTAAACTAACCCAATACACGCTGCAGTCTAAGTGTCCGGATGCTCTTTCTCGGTATGTTTGCTTCACAACCAGGACATGTTTAATAGCTATTATCTGCAATGCAACGTCATTTATCAACCCTTGGGGATTTGCTAGGAAATGTGATTGGTCTAAACTGCAAACGTTAGAGGGCGGGGTAGCTCACTGCAGCAGATGTTTTTGTGGTTAGTGAAATTCTCGGGTTTCGAATACAGCTTCGCTTTTGTTGCTACTCCATTTTAGCCTCAGCTGTGAGCTCTTTTGCAGCGCTCAGATCAGAAATTCGTAGCACTCTCTCTTGAGAGCACTTGCCTTGTTACTTGAATTTTTTTTAATTTTTAAAAAAAAATCTGGTATTTCAACAGGATCTATGTCCAGTTCTGTGCGGCTGACTTGCAAGTACTCAAGAGACGTGCTGCTTCGACAAGACCAAAACTGCTCAGCCCTGCGCTGTCTAGCACCTTGTCGACTAGTGCAAGAACTGCTGCTCGCAGCAGCTGCAATGAGGCATGCAGAAACGATGAGCTCAACAGCATCACATCCAATCAGCACCAGGATAGCCCTTCCCTTCCCAAAATGCCTCGGCTGAAGGAAGTTGTGCTGCAAGAAGGCCATGTTGGTGAAAGTAGAACTGTTTGTTCACACCCATTATGGACTGGCGACGAAGCGGTGGGCATCCCGGGCGGGAGAAAGCAGCTACCGGGCACAGGTACACCCCCTGGACATTCGACAGCATGCACCAGACAGAGAAAGGAAGGAACGTGCAGCGTAGGCTGTGTTACCCAGCTAATATTAGTAACTCACAAAGATGCTTTGATGCTGAGGAACTGTCAATATGGCAGAAACGAAGGCTGTGAGCATATTAATGGCTCTGAAGAGGCTTTCATCAAGAGAGCTAAGCCGAGGCTGCGACTGGCTTTTCAGGCGTCTGCGGTCAATATCGGAAGCCCCAGAGAGTGGAAAGATGAATCAAAAATCGAGGGATTGCCAGAGCTGGAAACAGACCCCTCTCTTTGTTCTGAACACAACAATCGTACAGAAGTAAGTACTGCTTTAATTGAACTCTGTCCTTGAAAACTAGTGCTGCGATGCAGTACAATCTCAGCTCCTAATTATGGCAGCCATGACTTGCATCCTGTCCTGCTCTCTCAAATGTAAGTGAATTTGACAAACTTCTGGTGGTCAATTACGAACCTTATTTGGGTATACCCCAAATGTAAAATAAACTGCAACATTAACCCTTTAGTTACTCTCTTTCCAAATAAGCTCTTTTTTGATCTTGCAGAACATTTTATTTAAAAATTGTGGCCAAAGATGAAGTCTCTGAAAACCTGATGATCTTGATCAAATGCCTAATGGATATATTATGTTGCACAAGATTAATAATGAAAAGAATGCTGATCCCTTATATAAGCAATGACCTTCAAAGCATTGGTTTACAGCATTAATACTGTGAACATGGCTAGGTTGTGAACGATTTAAGTTGTTTACTGAATGCATGGAAAACCAAAGTGACCCATGACTTACCAAAAAGCTTTCTTTGTTTGGGTGTTGGCTTTGTTAACTCTTTGTACGGAGGAGGTCATGTGGTTGGTTCAATCCTATATGTGTTGCTGTAATAATTTTGCACGTAGTTTGCATGTTTTGGGGATGGAGGGCATGTTTTTTAAGCCATCTTAACTACTTTATATAATTTGTATTTGGCTTCTTTATTACTTAAAAATTTCATTCTTGATTATGAAAATTTAGTTTTGCCTTGTAAGATTTTTGTCAAGCTAAAGTTGCTGACTGACTTCAGAAACTACCCTGTAAAGTTGGAAATTTTATCTACATGTTAGTTAAATTATTTTTGAAAAGTGCCTATACAAGTCAGTTTAACTGAGAAATTGGTTTACAATTGAGTATCTGGTATATTCGAGCATAAAAATAGTAAAGTGGAAGCCAAATAAATATTAAGGAAAGCAGTTCATTAAAAGTAATATTTAGTGTGTCAGAATTACTGGTGTTTTTTTTTCAAGTTTGAATAGTCTTAAGTGTTGACAATTCAGAAATACAAAGTATTTGTCAATATGCAATTGATAACCAAAGGTGTAAATATTGATGGCTTCAAGAATTCTCTTCAGAGTTTAAGATATGCTCAGTCAAATGTAAGAGGAATGCACACTGGATGCAGACATTTCTGTTGCAAACAATCTTCTTGTTTTGGAGAGCTGCACAATTTTTACTTGTATTGGTCACTTGTGCTTTCAGAAAAGTTTATGTTCTAAAGATTAAGACTCCCATTTGCTTGTCATATTGAGCTGATTAATTGTCACAGACTGAAAGTTATCTCTCTCAACTTCAAAACTTTGTAAGATAAGTGTGGGCATTGTTATATACCAAAACCAGCCATTGTATAACAGTAAACTGCATTTTTCCTCTTTTGAAACATTGTTCTGAAACATTGAAGTACGTTTTGTAGTTGTACAGTACGAAAATGTGCAAATTTTCATGGATGAATAACTCAACTGCAGCTGTGTGAAACATGTTTTCAAATTGTAGTATTTTGTGAACTAAAATTAAAATCTACATATTTGTAGTTTAATGCACTGAACTATTTTGCAATGGCTTGAATTTTGTAGATTTCATTGTAATTTTATGTTTTGACAAACTCTTTGACTCTGACTTTGACTTTGTTTTTAAAATTTTACGTTTAGTTTACGACCATTCTGTTTCAAGGTTGAAGCTGTAGTGAGAAAGTGCGGGTTAAAATTTAGCTTTGACTTGTGCTTATTTTTATGATCCAATTTCTTTATTTTCTAAAATACAAATTGGGTTTTATCTATTAACTGTTGAAACAAGCACTTATTCAGATTCCAAACTGGAAAAACTATGTGGATAGTAAATACTGTAGCAGTAGTGTTAGGCAAAACATTGGTTTGATGGTTTTATATCTTTTGGGAGAAATAGTCTCAAATGTTTCTTATGATATTTCCCGCCAATTTATGGGTGTCCGGAAGTAGGCACAGTTTCACCTAGTCTTTATAACGAAGACGACAAGCTTTGAGGGAGCGCCATTTTTGTGCAAATTCTTGCCTCCACTTGCATAGGTGTGGGAGGAAAACTACAGTAAGATAATGTTGGTTGTTTCACAGAATATTGCTAATATTTATTTTTGCTAGAAATGGCTTCCATAAAGTTCTGATGTTAACTGATTTGTCTAATTTGTGTCGTCTTTGTTCTTTTGAGTTCCCTTGTAAAAGGGTGCATAATTAACCCTTGCATTGTCTGGGAAATCAGATGAAAAAGCATTCTCATAATTTTACATATTGATGTTGGGGAAAATTGCACCCAATGAACTTGTGTACAGATTGTCATGGCAAATGATCATTATTAATTGCAATACAGTTTTTGAAAGTTAATCTTGAACTAATAGCCTATTTGACTGGGGTGGGGGGGAGAAATTGCTGCTTTCTTGTTTGAAATGCCCACCCTAATGCCATCTTAAAAGAGAAATATTTGAGGAGGATGGCTGAGATTAAACTCTGGATATAATGGAGCAATGAGGGTAAGCAGTGACAAATATAAATTTGTTACAGCTTTTGCACGTAATCCTGAAAGGTTTATAATTTTGGGAATTTGCTCATCACTTTTCGTAATGTCAACATCCCTGGATTCTCGCAGGTCTATAAATATTTGGAATAAGTAGGAAAACAATGAATTTGGTACGCTGAAAGACAAGTTTTTGGTATTTTTATTTGGTTTAGTTCCTTGCATAAATATGACATCGCTACAGACATGCACAATTTCTGAATGAGTTTTCCACTCAACATTTTCTTTACATTTTTTTTTTACCATTCTTAAGAAATACATCTGAAACCCTGAACTGAAATGAGATCACAGAGTTGTTGGCATGAATACTTTTGCTAATGCTAGTCCCTTGACAGATTCTCTTTGAAGTTCAGGTGCTTTTTGTTTCCAGTGAGGAGGGAGAAGACTGTGTCATTTCCACCATGATACAGTACAGTGCCTCTGAACAGACTTGCATTTGTCACTTGTTTTAGTCACTGTTTTCTGGTGGCAAGGGTATTTAATTTAGTATAACTTCTCATATTTAATGCACGCAGTAATAGCACCACATTTTGAAATGGTATTCCATGGATCAACACTGAGCACTTAGTAAATGTAACATTTTTTTCAAATGGTTATCTTTAACAGCCATATGGGTTTTACAACTGATCTGTAGCTGATAAATTGTGGTCATTAAAATATCAGTGTTGCACAAGAGGCCTAAATGTTGTGATGCAAAATCTCGAGTGCTAATATGCTGTTTTAAGTTGTCCTTTCACATAGTCTTGAATTAAAAATGTCACTCTAATGTTAGCAAGTTGATACTTAAAAATTGAGGATGCAATAGTAATATATGTACAATCTGTTTATAGCAAGTGGGTTATTTGTGTAGTCAAGAGTTCTGACAAGTAGAAAAATCAACTTAAATGGCTGGCAATGTGTGTCTCTGCAGTGTTTTCACTGGCATACGTGGTTAATATTTGTAGGATCAGAAAACAGTTATTACCCTTAGTACACAATCTAATTGTAACTTTTGACATGATTAAATGATGTATGTATGTGACGGAGTATGTCTTAAGCTTTTAAACTAAGTATGTTAAACCATTTCTTGTTTCATTTGCCAAAACGAAATTCCTGATTAGTGAAAAGTTCAACACTACCTGATCTGAATACATGAGAAGCTAAACAAGTGTAGGATGGTAGTGAAATCACCACCCAGTGCCAAATTGTAATTGTGAATGCCTTGGTATCTGCTAATCTTTACAAGGTGAAAACTCTTATCTAATTTCTCATCATGTGTGTTGGACCGAAGGTTTCATCTCTCGAGCACAGGTGTTGCATGGCCAATGGTACAGTCTAACTTAAATGCTTGCATAATTGCCAATTCCCTTTTCAATGATAAATTGTTTACTAATGTGATTTATTTGTTGAAAAAAGGTCCCATGTCTTTAATGTTGGATTTTCAGGTTCTGTAAGAAAAACTAAAACTGGTATTTGGTAAATTGAGGAATTCTTTTACAGAATTTGCATAATTTCTGAAATTCTTGATTGTAAAAGATTGAATTTTATAAATTGCACATCCCTCTCCCGAGGTTCGTTTGTTCTCAGATGTGGGTGCATGACCTTTTTTTTTGCCAATCTCAACTTTCTCAATGACGTGTTTAATTTCTACAAGTATTAGTTTTTAAGCCTCAGTACCAGCACCACTTGATATGGTTGTTTCATTTACAAAAAAATTGTTTTATGCAAATTTGAGAACAATTAATACTGCCAGTGTAATATTTTAAAAGTCACTTGTATGATTTTGATTATTTTCGTGATGCTCTTGCAGGGTAATAACTGTATTTGAAGTGTTGTATCATTCTATTGTCACTTAAATGATTTGGCATTTACTCACCAGACCAATATTAAAATCCCCTTAAGTCATTGATTTCGGAAGGAGCCGGTCCCTGCAACCATACTAATGTTACTGCCACCACGTCCCTGAAGAAAGCAGTTAGTGTTTTGCTGGCCAAAGTACAGTCCTGCACAAAAGTAATATCAGCCACCTCGTCTTTCCAGTTTCTTGGGGAAGTGCAGTTGTTGTATCAACTGCTGCACGCTTTCTGAGGGATAAATGCAAAGCTGAGAAGTGTAAAAATTAAAGTATTGCACATTTTTTACAGATCTGATTCCCACAGCCGCCATAAATTATATAAATCAAGTTCAACGTAAAGATGATGTAACTTGTTTGCTCCTTTAACTTGCATCAAGACCTCCTAGCCTCTTGCCCCTATCCTCACTGACTGTGATTATCTCCTGTTAAGCAAGGAGTGCTTTGATTTTAAAATTCTTGACAGAGTCTTCACATGCTTCCATTGGATTACCCAGATACTGCCAGTTTTCTACCTTTTTTCTGGAGATGCTAACACATTTCTGCACATACAGGTAATAATAGCAGCCAACTAATGAAGGATCCTAGTCGAACAACAGGGCACATCTTTGATCCCTTACTAGCAGTTTTAAGATCAGTTAATACTTCTCAACAAGTAAGGCATGAATAATTCAAATGCATATGTGTTTGATCAGATTTCAGTCTGTTGATCTTTGTTTCTTCCTATTATTTGTCTGATATCTGGGAATCTTTTGCCATTGATAAAGTTTCTCTTTGTTTGCGTACTTTAATATGAAAAAGAACACTTTCCAATGCCTGTTGCTCAAACCAGACTTTTTGTCTGGTATGATTGGCTCAATATCTTAGCTCTTCATTAGTACCACTCGATCTGAACTGGTTATATGTGATTATTATTTCAATGTCATTGCAGGTGCTGTTGGATTTCATGGGAAAATCTGTGAAGTGGTACCATCTAATAAACCCAGGTGGAGTATACAGATTGATTGCATCAAAACAGCTGGTGAGCGAATCAAAAGGTGCTTCTGTAAGGAATATTTGAGCATGGAAAACAACAATTCTAATAACTGGTGATAACGTTGTAAAAATCTTCATGCTGAAAGAAATCACCTGAATTATGCAGGATTACATTCTGATTCTATTTTGCAGAAATAAATGATCGAGGCAATCGATTATATTCCATTATCACTTGAAAACCTTTAATTTAATTTGTAATATTTACAAATTTTCCCTTCATTATCCAGGGCGTGTCTGTTTTTGAACAACGTAGCTCTAGCACCATTCCACGAAAGACTCTGCAAAGTTTGAATTGTCCGCTCTTCATTACTTTTCAGTCTGGCTGGAACTTGCAGTATATTTCCACATTGTCTTCTTTACACCAATCCCAGGTAGGTCAGCAAATTGGAAATCAAGGACATTAGCTGGGTTCAATTAAACTCATCATTCAGCCATATCAAGGACTTACAGAATGAATTTCTTGAATATTAGAAAGTGGGAGTTTGGAAGTGACAGGTTTAGTAATTTGTAATGTATAACATTTATGCATTACTAGAATACAGTGGAATACACCCTGACAGTTGGACCACAGTTAATGTAACCAGCTGTTCAAAATAATTAGTAAATGTGAAATGAGAAAATAAGAGCCACTATCTGTCAGTTTACAATCATATTAGTAGGCTTAAGAAAGGTTCCATGAATTTTTAAAAATCTTTTCTAAAATGATTCTGTTCGTGTTGTCTTTAAGATATAGTTTTAGATCGGTATTTTTATTGGCAAAATTTCCAATTTCAGCTTTCCAAAAATCGAATAAACCTGTCTGCTTATTTTGAAAACTTGGCCTCAAAAATAACTCGCCTTTGCACTATTCAAGAGGTACTCTCTCTCACGTAAGTACGGAAATGTACTTGTATGTATTGAGAGCGTACGTTAGTGAGAACTGTCTGTTCCTGTCTCAACTTCTCCTTTGAGTGTTCCTTTGCCATCCTCCCTGTGGTGACTGCTGGAGGTATAGTTCTAATCAAGTACCAACCCCCAAGACCCATAAAGCCTTTCTTGATATAAACCCACTTATGTTTGCTGTCCAAGCTTTTGAAGTATAGACCATTGCAACTCTACCTTTGCTCAGTCTAAACAGTGTGTACCTTGCATAAGATTACTTGGCAGTCAATAGATTCTAAATCCAGGTCAGTATTTTTAAAGACAACATGGTTGGTAAGCTCAAGCCAGACCATCTTGGTACTGCTGTTTTAAGACTCCCCTCTCATATGTTTATGAATTGCCTATACTTGTATTAGAAACAAATAAGTTGTTCATGCATTGATACAATTATTTGCTGTATTTGTATGACCTCTTAAATGTATGAACTTAATTTTACAGTTTGAACTTTGCTTGAAATATTTTTTAAAAATCTGTATAATTCTTTGCCAATTTTATTTGGGAGAATTTAGCTCCCTCATTTTTTAGAGCAACAGTGTTTTTAACAGCTTGGAGTCTTCTAATGTTCGGGTTATTTGCCAGTTTCTCAGCACCGCTTGTCTCTTTCACTGGAATCATATTGGAAAGGATCTGCATTAACCCCAATAGAAGAACTAACTTTGCAGCTGTTATAACTGACAAAAACGCACAAGGTAAAGATGAAGCAATATTCCAGTTGTATTAAAACCATTAGCTATGATTTGTATTTCCAAAATTGGAATGTCCTACAGTTTGTTGAAATGTTGTGATATGTTGGAGGAATGTTGTCTAACAATGATGGATTCAAATCTGTATCCTGGCATTTCTATCTGACTGAAATTCAACATAAGAAATAAAAGCAGGAATAGGCCATTCAACAAGATTATAGCTGATCTGCCCTGGCCTCAACTCCTGTTCCATGCCAACTCAGCATGGAATGAAATAAGCATGAAGATACTGAGAAGAGGTGTTTTTTTCCATTTGCAGAAAAGCAGAGTTTACACAGGAGGCTGTGAGTTGCTCTCATGTATAGAAAAAATTGACATAGACTGAGGAATATATTATCTATTGAATAAAGAAGCTAACTTTAATTGTTGCAAAAGACTGTTTTGTGGCATTTTCCCCTGAGTTGTTGAATATGAAGTGTTTGCTTGTTCCAGCTTCATTGGTGACTTCATTTGGTTGTGTTTAACTCCAATTTGCTCCTTGCTTGTAATAGGTGTTTCGGTTCCTGGTGACTGGGGCCTGAAGTTAACTGTTGGTGATGTTCAAAATACTGCCGTAGCTCTGGACATCTACGTAAATTTCACAATGCTGTCTTACACCCTTGGAATTTTACCAGGAACTGTGGTGCTGTTTTGTAGTTTGGAGAGGACAACATCCAGGTTAGTATTCTGTAAGAGTGAGCCCTTCTGCCTCCCCCACCCCCCCAACACACACACACACACAACAGTTGTATAATGACTGGTCTGTACCTTAACTGCAATTATTTGCATTAGTACATTTCCCTTGAAGGCATATGACAGAAAAAGCAATTGATGTTTGTTGTGAATATTTCAGTTGTCCTGCCGTTTACAACCTTTTAATTGATTTTCTTTTAAACTTGTTCACCAGATGCACCACTGGCTAGACCTGCATTTGTTGCCAATCCCTAGTTGCCACTGAGGAAATGGTGAATTTGTGCAGTATATGAGATATGAATACTCACTGTGCAATTAGGAACTGTGTTGCAGGAGTTTTCATGAGTCACAGAATTTCCTCTGTCCTTCGCATAGAAAGCATGCTTCCTGATTTGCCTAGTTTTAATTTTAAGTTTGGCACCCAATCTTGGCCCGAAGAATAAATAAATTTATCTGTATCTATTGAATCTTTTTAACATGTAAAACATCTGAATGAGATCACCCCTCCGTTTTTTAAACTCAAAAGAAAATGAGACAAATTTATGCAACTTTTCATAGGTTGTTCTTAGCTCCAGCATTCCATTGGATCGGGTCTGTTCTGTACTCAGTTGAGAGCCAATATATTCTTCCTGAAGTATGATTCCAAAACGCAATGTAGAATATAAACTATACAGCTATACTTGTCTACAGCTGAGGCATGACTTCTTCCTATTTGTAATCCCCTCCTTTCCCATCTTGAAGTAATGGGTAATATTCAGTTAGCCTTTCTGATTGCAGAAGTATATATAAAGCAAGCTTTTGTGTGTTTGAACTTCAAAATCTGTTTTGCCCAGGTCTTCCTCAATTTGAAAGAACTAAAGTTTATTTTTCTTCAGTGGATGATGCTACATCTGCCCGCATTAAAATTCTAACTGTCATAGTTTTACCACTTAATAATCTCAATTTCATGTAGGACCCTGCAGTTTTATTTCAGGTCTGCCACCCTTCAGTTCTCTTCAGGTGCAGTGTCTGACCTGCTGAATATTCCGAACAGTCAATATTAACAAAGATGGGTTGTTTGACTTCAGTTGCTTTTAAAACATGGCCAATATGTCTAATTATATTTTAAAGTGCCCTCAAATCCTATTGCAGTCATGTCATTTATAGTTAAGATACAATTCAGGAGTTTCAAATATTAGAGGTAGTAGGAATTGCAGATGCTGGAGAATCCGAGATAACAAGGTCCAGAGCTGGATGAACTCGGCAGGCCAAGCGGCATC